TGTATTACAGCGCAGGACGGCCCTAACGGCCGCAAAATACTTCTATCCACACACAGGACTGGTATTTTAAGCTTGGCTATACAAATCTAGGCTTAAAATATAGCGTATAGAGTTACTTAAAATATGCAAAATACTAGAAGTTGCTAACTGGCGTAGTTCCTGAGATATAACAAAAATTTGATTTGCGTCTTGAGTTGTTGTTGTTAGGTTATATATATATCTTTATAAAAAGTCTTACTTTTTTTAATAACTTCTTTAATACTTAATATTTAGATCCTTAAATTTAAATATAGAATAATTAATACTAGATAACGAACTAAGGTTATTACCATTTGCGGATACCCGATGTAGATAACATCTACTTAGGCATCCTTGCCTATATGTACTTAGTTCTATCTCAGCTTCCTCCATATTCTCCTCAAGCTTAGACATCGCCATAACCCATTTTGGGTTGGAACCTTCAACCCAAAACCCATGCCAAGAACCCATTTGAACCCATTTTGACCTATTTTTTTGCATAAAAATGCCAAGACTTTCCTAATTAGGCTAATTTATGCTAATTTTATGTAATTTTTCTACAAAATGGGTTTTGAATGGGTTATAAATTCCTTGGCATGCCAAGAAATGGGTTGTGAAATGGGTTCTGGCGATGTCTACTCAAGCTATTACTTTCGTCGAACAGCTACTGTTTCCTTTACTTTGTATACTACGCTATACGTTGATCTCTGTGAGCATCTGAGCATCCTCACAATAGGTTAAGTGATACCATTGGCAAATCCCCTATAATTTATTAAAAATGTTTCTTTTAAGGTTGGTTGGGATGGCTAACCACTTTCTGAATTTGCTGGACGTCTCGAAATCAGTTCAGGGTATGCTTTAGACTCATCGCAACAAATATTAGATAAAGACTTATCTTTCAAAGTGTCACCTAGTCCCCACAAGATTACACACACAAGAGAAATGTTGCTAGAAAGGAAAATCATAGCCTCTCTCGTATTCTTGAATGATTTTGCAAAAGAAAAATAACTTGACTGATAACTTGGTGCCGAGGTCCACCACCTGAATAATATTGGCAGCGATAGCTCAAGCCTCAAGCCTAGACACGATACAAAGTTCAGAAGCAGTATGCTTTAGTATTAATATAAGTCCGGAATGTAATAAAGGCTGAAAAGGACTCAGGGTGAAAATCGGACTAGTGTGACTTAGCGCAAGAGGCGCAAGAGGCGCAAGAGGAGGGCAGAGTATAATGTATATTATATTTTGTGTCATCCTATAGTCATTGCATAGTTAGAACTTACTTATCTGTCACCGGTGGACGGCTATGATACATTATCTTCTCCTCTACCCGTCCTTCAGACTGTAGACCACCTTACAATTTGTGGCCATAACCAATCCAACCAAGTTCAGCCATAGCCCTTCATGCAAGGTTTCTATCATATCTGTTTAAATTATTTTAGTTTTTCACAGATATAGTTATTGTAACCAATATGATATAGAATCTACCAATATTTAAGTATTTAAGTATTTATTTTTGTCTTATGTGTTAGAGTTGTTTATTTTTTAGGTATTTTAAAAATAGGATTCTAAGCTTCTAGGCTAGACCCGAGTAAAAAAATACATATAGGCAGTCTTTTTTATGCCCTCAATGTCGTCAAACTTGACAACTTTCTCGTCATTGAACATCACCCATGAAAGCTGGTCTTGGTCCGGAAGCACCTTACGAACAAGAGCCACATAATGCCTAAAGGAGATTAGCAAAGTCCGATGGAGGATACTGATTGAGAAAGGAAAGACTCACCCTGCATGTACGGATGTGCCCTTATGACACACAATAGACCGTAACTGGTAAGAAGCTGGCAAGCTGTCAAAGCCAGGTGTGTCTTGCTGGGCTGGAGCATTGTTAGTATTTGTGTCGAACTGGTCTTCCATTCCATCATCAGGATGGGTGAAGACCCAGTCTACAGCCCGATTGACATCGCCATCTGTTGCAGCCAAAGCTTTCCGGGCCCTGGCAGCGTCAATGCCCATTTCGCCTAACTGAGCCACTTTGCCTTCATCCTGGGATGAATCTCCCGATTTGCTAGTTAAGACCAGAGGCTCATCGATGTCGGGATCCTCCATGTGTGCAAATAACCAGTTCATGGCAGCCTCTGGGTCTGCATTCCCGGTTGCATGGAGGGCCTTTTCACACCTTGGTTGAGGGAAACCCATGCTCAAAAGCTGATCCATGGCTGCAGGATTGGCAGTGAAAGTAGCTGTCTCCGCAACCTCCTCCGGCAATAGCTCCTCAGATTCATCGTGTTCTTTGCTGAGATAGGGTCCAAAGTCCAGAGGTGCGTCATCCACGATCACAGGAATATCAAGCTTGGTGGGAACCCAGTTCACCAACTCGAACCGCCGAGCATTGACCGCTAGTTCGGACGGTAAAGTCTTGAAGGAAGACCGTTTGGAAAATCCAAGGCCACCCTCGCAAGCCGGGCAACTGAGCTCAACTATTTCATCCGCAGTGAAAATATCGAGACACTCGGTCAGTGTCACTGGCTCAAAGCGATCCGGACTGGATTCAAGACGACGCGCCGGTACTGCAACAGAGATATTGTCCTGTTCATCGACCTTGTACCGAACCTTTTTGCAGCTGAGACACTGGAGCCGTTGCTCCACATGAAATCGGAAATGTTGGACCGGGTTCACTTTACCCTCGGGCTGATTTGATAAGCTGATTGATTTGAACACATGAAGAAGGAACTCAAAGGCATCTTGTTGTCTCATGGTTGCAAACTCTTCATGGCCCTGCCCAATCAAGTATTTAAACATTGCCGGGGCCAGTCCCTTCTGATGCGAACTCTCTGGTGTATCCGAGGACGCAGCAATGCGTGGATCCGGTCGAGAATAACGGCCTGAAAGCAGGCCATCTGCCAACTTCCTCATTTGTGTCTCAAGGTCTTGCGCTGGAGCATCGGTCTGCGGAGGTTCGCTAGAAGGGTAGTAGTATCGCTCCTGGAACCCTTGAGTGGAGAAAATACACTGTAAGATACTTGACAAATAACAGCTGTTGCCAAGGTTGGATAGCCCAGTAAATCCAGGACCATAGACCGGTAATAGCTCGCGTCCGTCCTCGCTGGTCATGGAAAACTCCCACTGCATGTTGTGCTCGACTTGCATTTCCATCAAGCTTTTTTCAGTCTTCTCACGCCCGGCCAGATAGATTCCCCAGTGTGCAAGGTGATTGGCAAGTTCCGGGTCTGTCCGTTCTTCGTTGCATTTATAGCAATAGATATCGGCGGATCCTTCGGCTGTGATGGAGCCTAACTTCACAGCAACACCGTGCGATGCCGAATCCGCATGGGCGACAGCATGTGAATTTCCCTTACTCCCGCCGAACTGGCTACGTCCACAAGCGACATTTCCGCACTCCAGACAGAGCCATAGGTTTTCCTTTAAATCACACGCTGAGCATTGACTTGAATCTGCGATCTGAATGAGCCTCGTCATAATCCGATTCGATTGAATGAATGTCTCACCTTTGGATTCAGGGTTCTCGATCTCATGTTGAACCAAACACAAAGTATGCTCGCAAGGAATGAACTCTTGTTCCCATGCCTTGACTTCCTCTTTCTTGGAAAATGTCATGGCAGTCATAACACCTTCAACCGTCGCGGGAAGGTTACCGCGTGTTTTATCCACATTGTCTTCAGCGCATGAATAGCATGTCACAGATGTAACGATGTCGTAACGATCCGCCTCGGTTTCGGCGGCGATTGCGAGCTTCGAGATTTTCGGCGGGGGTTCGTCACGCTAGATACATCCGAGTCAGAACCAAAATGAATTTTCTTCTCGAGGTGGATATGCTCACCTGAATCTGCTTTGGCGTTCTTTTGATGTTCAAGGCCAAAGAGTGGCCGAAGCGCTGGAAATGAAGTCGGGCATGATCTCGGTCTCCAGCGCAGCCACCATTGAAGCAATGAAGGCAGACGTTAAGGCCGGAAGCATCGTCCTGAAAGAGGGTCGTGTTATTATATCGTGTAGAAGATTGAACGATCCCGTACGTACAATAGAATCAAAACACTGGGTGCAATCTTCTCGATAAACCGATTGGAAGGGCCCTGGAGGGCTAATATCTATTTCGATACACCGTCAGAAAATCATGGGAAGTCATAGTCTCCAACGATCTCACCAACCTGAAGCTTCCGAATGGATGCAGGCCATCTTTAAGAAACGGTGCGGGGTTGATGGCGGAGCCCCGGAGAGTTCAAAGGTCGGTGGAACAAGGCGGAAGAGGAAAAGATTCGCCGGATGGGAAGGGGTAAAAACGACTCAACACTTGAGCTGAAAGGTTGAGAAGGTGGAGAGAGCAAAGAAGATAACAACAAATGAAGGATGTGGTCAAGCAAAGCAAGGAAAGGCAAAGCAAGGCAGGAAGAGCTTCTCGGCGTGGGGCAGAATGGCTTACCTCATCATCCTTATGTACTGCCTGGAGGGGTCATCCACGTGATCGGAAGCACTCTACGCGTCGTATTGGCTGGATTTACGCGTCGCGGGTTTTGTCACCATCCACCATCCTCGTCGCCTCTTGAGCTTTGAGGTTTCTTCATTTCTCACGCTTCATTTTCGGTCCTATTTTCTCCTCTTCTGTCTTGTTTCATCAAATTTATTGAAGATGGCCTCCGATGCGGCATCCCAGGTAACCGTTGGGGCTCTGGGTATGTCATTTTTTGACCCTTGAAAGAACTCGACGGAGCTGGGAAGAAAACTTGTATAGAGCTAACATCCTTGGACATAGTTCGATCTTCGACGAGACTAAGCCTCAGATCCATGAACCCATTGTTCAATGCGTGCAAATTAAACCTCTGCCTCCTCAGCCCGGTCACCAAGAGCGTTATCGGGCCGTATTCAGTGACATTGCCAACTATGTCCAGACTATGCTTGCCAGCCGTATGCGAGATAAACCCACCCCTGTCGATCGCTCCCTAGATGCTAATAGTTGTCCCTAGAGGCCAACCATGTGGTTACAGACGGATCTCTGCCAAAAGGGATGTTTTGTCAAACTGAAGTCATTCCAAGCCAACTCTGTCAAGGGTAAAAAGTGAGTGGGTAATGATTCGCTACCACGGTGCTATACTAATGAGTGGTAGGATCTTGATCATTCTGGATCTGGAGGTTATGAAGGAACTGGGCGAGGCGGAGAAGATTGGCGAGCCGAAGCCTTTGGAAATCAAAGCCGACGACGACGAAAAGCCCCAACCCACAGCAATTTCGAGCAACGGATTCTATGGCTCAAAGCCTCCGGCCGCACCGGCACAGCAACAAAACCGCGCACAACCGACGAGAGGACCCTCAGCTGGTACCCATGCATCCATTCACCCGATCGAGGCCATCTCTCCCTACAATAACAAATGGACGATCAAGGCCCGCTGTACGAACAAGTCACCCATCAAAACCTGGCACAACAAGAATGGCGAAGGAAAGCTATTCAGTGTGAATTTGCTGGATGATAGCGGCGAGATCCGCGCGACTGGATTTAATGACCAGTGTGATCTGCTTTACGACCTTTTCCAAGAAGGTGGTGTGTACTACATCTCTAGCCCCTGTCGGGTGCAAATGGCCAAGAAACAGTTCACCAACTTGAACAACGATTACGAGCTTACATTCGAGCGGGATACTGTGGTCGAGAAAGTAAGTAGATCTCATAACCTCTGCGGGACCTCCTCGGAATCATTTACTTATGCTGGTTGATAGGCGGAGGATCAACATGATGTGCCCCAGATTCGTTTCAATTTCACCACTGTCGGGGACTTGCAAACTGTGGAGAAAGATACAACCACCGATGTGATTGGAATCCTGAAAGAAGTTGGAGAAACATCGCAGATCGTTTCAAAGGGAACGGGCAAACCGTACGATAAACGAGAGCTCGGCCTCGTCGACAATACCGGGTTCTCGGTCCGATTGACCATTTGGGGTGCAACTGCTGTCAATTTCAACGTGGCTCCCGAGTCTGTTGTTGCCTTCAAGGGAGTCAAGGTTTCCGACTTTGGCGGTCGCAGTCTCAGCTTGCTGAGCTCTGGCTCAATGACGGTCGATCCTGACATCGGAGAGGCTCATAAACTAAAGGGATGGTATGATGCTCAAGGTCGGACTGAGAATTTTACTTCGCATGCGTCTCTCTCTGGTGCTACCGGCTCAAGCATGAAGTCTGATAAATTCAAGACGGTTGCCCAAGTCACTGAAGAGCAACTGGGCATGTCTGATCAGGTGGATTACTTCTCCTTGAAAGCGACTGTTGTTTTTATCAAGCAAGATGCTACCTGGTGCTATCCCGCCTGTCTCTCTGAACGCTGCAACAAGAAGGTCACTGAGCTGGATCCTGGCCAGTGGCGTTGTGAGATGTGTGACAAATCACACCCCAAGCCCGAGTATCGTTACATCATGCCACTTAGCGTGAGCGATCACACCGGCCAGCTTTGGCTCAGTTGCTTCGATGACACTGGACGACTGATCATGGGAATGTCGGCGGATGATTTGATGCAGCTTCACGAGGATGACCCTGTCGCATTCGGGGAAGTGTTCCAAGAAGCCAATTGCCGCACCTGGAATTTCCGTTGCCGTGCAAAGATTGACACTTATGGTGAACAACAGCGGTAAGTTTTTATAATACCTAGTGATATGTATCTTGACCAGGAAACCCAAAAGCTAACATTACTCAGAGTTCGGTACCAAGTATCATCTGCCTCGGCCATCAACTATTCCGAGGAAGCCTCCCGTCTCGCCGATATTATCAGCGCCTACAATATCAACTAGACAAAATGTGTCACACAGAGAAGCAAGTCTGTCAAGAATATTGACTGATTGGGGTGTTACTAGCACCTTTTCCATTCTTCTTCCTACGCGGGTTACCCGATTGCAAAATTATTGTCATGTCTTTTAGTGTAATAGTGCCAATCCTGAGCATCTGGTTCCAGATCAATTGACTACCTAGTTTCTTACAAATTATTATGATCTTATGCTTTACATACAAGGTACCTTTCATCCGGGGCAATAAACAATCCATTCCCCACATCGGCGGATCGACCCCAATCTCCGGCGGTGACATCGGAAACACCCGGCAATATTTTGAAAAATTCCCAAATTTTCCCTAAGCAGGCGGCTTCGCAAATCACTCCCCATTCATTTTTCATAATTGTCGCCCCCCCAGACAATTTATTCGCCATGGGAAAACGAAGCCACGACTCGGCGGAGCTCAAGCCCAAGAAGAAGTCCAAGTCTGACAAGCCTCTCAAGGAGAAGAAGAGCAAGAGCGACAAGATCGAAAAGACCGAGAAAGTTGTTGCGGAACAGGAAAATGGCACCTCGTCCAGCGACTCGTCCACCTACACCCAGGCATCTGCTCTCACAGCTCTCCCCCAGTCTCAAATCGATACTTTCATGAGCGAGCATGTGATCAAGTTCACCGATCCCTCTGCAGACGCACCAGCCTACCGTCCATTGACCTCTTTTGACTATCTGCCTCCCTGCGACAACAGCAATCTGTACGCCCCATTGAAGTCATTCCCAGCACCCACACCAATCCAGGCATGCACCTGGCCGCTACTTTTCGCCGGTCGCGATGTCATCGGTATCGCCGAGACAGGTTCTGGAAAGACCCTGGCCTTCGGTCTGCCGTGCCTTCGCAAACTGACCCAGTCCAAGAAGAGCAATAAGCCTTACCACCCAAGCGCTGTCATCATTTCCCCCACCCGTGAGCTCGCCATGCAGATCTACGATCAGCTCATTAAATACACCGAAGTGACCGATGTCGGCGTGGTATGTATCTTCGGCGGTGTCAGTAAAGATGAGCAGCGCACTGCCCTCAAGACAGCCGCCATTGTCGTCGCTACCCCCGGTCGTCTGAAGGACTTACAACAAGACGGCTCCGTCGACCTTTCCAAGGTCAAGTACCTCGTCCTCGATGAAGCCGATCGCATGCTGGACAAAGGATTCGAGCAAGATATCAAGGATATCGTCGCACCCATGCCAGTCTCTCGCAGACAGACGGTCATGTTCACCGCAACATGGCCCCGCTCCGTCCGCGACCTCGCAAACACATTCATGAGCTCTCCGGTAACCGTCACCATCGGTGGAGACCCCTCCGCAGACCCCCGCGCCAATCTCAGAATTAAGCAAGACGTCGAGGTCATGGATGGCCGGGACAAGGAGAACCGACTCATCCAGCTCCTGACAAAGTCCCAGAAGGGCAAGAACCCGGAGAAGGTCCTTGTATTCTGCCTGTACAAGAAGGAAGCCATGCGTGTGGAGAGACTTATTAGTCAGAGAGGTTTCAAGGTTGCCGGTATCCACGGCGATCTGAACCAGTCAGATCGTTTCCGTAACCTTGATGCTTTCAAGAGTGGAGCTGCGACTGTCCTTGTCGCAACTGATGTCGCAGCCCGTGGTCTCGATATCCCTGCTGTGATGTTGGTGATCAATGTCACTTTCCCTCTGACTGTTGAGGACTACGTTCACCGCATTGGCCGAACTGGACGTGCTGGTAAAGAAGGCCATGCTATTACCATGTTTACCGAGCAAGACAAGGGTCTATCTGGCGGGTAAGTCAAGTCTTTCCTCTCATTCCTTTTTTAGCCTTTTGCAGTTACTACTGGTTCCGAATAATTCATACTGACAATATCATTACAGATTGGTCAACGTCCTCAAGGCCGCAAAGCAAAATGTGCCCGAGGACCTTCTGAAGTTCGGCACCACCGTGAAGAAGAAGCAGCACGACGCCTACGGCGCGTTCTTCAAGGACGTCGACTCGGACAAGAAGGCAACCAAAATTACTTTCGACGATTAAAGGAGTTAAAATTTGAAATTGAAATTGAAAATACCCAATCTATGACTTTGACCTATTCGAGTTTTTTGGGTCCCTTAGCGCGGGAGGATGCGATTTGACGAATTTCCGCCAATTGTTGCATGATATATTTTCTTTCCACATAGAGCCTAATGACAAAGCTGCAAGTTAGATCGTGACACACAAAATGTATTTCTTCTTTTTGCTTCAAAAATTTTTTCTGGCACAAACTTGAACTCACATCAGAAGTGCGTAGACACCGCTAAACGCAATTGCCGGGATGATTTTCGCATGTAAACTCGGCACCACTTGACTCGCCACCGTAGCCAAAGCAGAAAGAATATAAGCAGCAGGCTTCATACTGATCTCAATTATACCCAGACTGCTCCCATTTTTGCGGAAGAAGCCTCGAATGAAACAATAGCTCCAAAGTGTTCGGACAGCCATGTTCACAATATTCGCAAGTACAAGCCCATAAGCACCTAGAGACCCGACCTCAAGAAAGAGATACGCAGCCAGGGCATAGCAAGCAGAAAAAGCACCCATCCAACCCGTCTGAGTGCGAATCTCGGATGGATTGGCAGCAGATGAAACAAACGCCTCAGTGATGCCGTTGAAAGCCAGGAAGGGAATATAGTAACAATACAACGATAGTAAGTCGGCCACTTTCGGCGAAGCCCATTGACGACCGCCAAGGATGGTGAGGACTGTCGGAACCATGATGGGACCAATTGGTAAGATGAGGGCTGAGAGAAGTTGGTAGGCTCTCAGAATGGTGACAAGTTGACCTTTCGCGGTGCGGAGTTGAACATCGGTTCGTTTGCTGTTAGGCCCGTCTTGACTCAGCAGTGCGGAAAATAAATTCCTACTGCTTTCTTCCAGTGGCTGGAAGATGATCCTCGCAATTAAGCCGCCGTAGTTGGATGCTAGGGAGTATATTCCTTGATCCTCTAAGCTGGACATTGCAGCTAGCATCATCGAGTCCCCTTGAGTGAGGAGGTGTTTGACCAATGATTGGAAAAAGAGAGTTGCCGCTAAAAAGGTTAAGCGGCGAGAGAATAGACCGGAGATGTATTCTGAATTGTTGCTGCGTTCAGATGGTTAGTATGCGAGTTCCCGATAAATAGGCAGGGATAATGTGATGTGATGTGATACCTAGATTCTACCCCAGAAAGAAGAAACGAGAACCGCCTTGTGAACGGAGTCCACAGCAACGACCAGTAGTATCCAAAAATGAGAGTTATCGAGTAGGCCAGATACCCAAGCGCAAAGGGCAAAGAGCCGACATCATGGCCTTGACGAGAGGCGTAGAAAAACGTAGAACAAGTCACAAGACTTTTCAAGAAAGCGGCTGGAAGTTCGACAGCAGCCCGTTTCTCATACCACATGCGTTGTTGAACAACCGCAAAGAATGGTTCAATGGTCAATTCCAACAGAGAAGCGAGACCCGTCACCGTCACACTTTGATTGAAAAAGGGGGTTGAGTGCGCTTGTTCGGGAGCGAAATGTTTGTAAAACCAGGTCAACCCGGTTGTAAAGATCACACCGAGAAATAGGCTCAGATAAGACACATTGACAACTGACTGAGAGGCAAGAGATTGCTTGTCATTATCTGTGTCTCGATTGTCTTTGTCTTTGTCTTTGTCGTTGGTGCTAGAAGATGGGCTGGATGCCAAGGGCTGTCTTTGAATGGCCATCCGGATGCTTTCTCTAGAGAAATAGAGAATGGTCACTTGGAAAAGTTCAAGTTGAGCGGCTATGCCCAGCACGATAGGTGACAATGTTCGCAATATCAGCTGGTTGGAGGCGAAGGTAAAGATTCTCGACGCCAATTGGATCATGATGAGAAAGGTGGTACCAGTGGCGGAGGACCGAAGCACATTTCGATTACCATCGCCGCTGGTTTTGTCAATTTCTTTTTCATTTTGATTGCCATGGCCGGCTGGTGTTTGACCGGCACGCCCCATTTTAAGAGGGGGAAATTGACGCGTGTCCAAAAGAGGAATTGTTGATGGCTAAGCCGAAGTACAACTTTGGATTTCCGGCCCTCTGACCGCTTACTACCACGCTTACGTAGTCTACTTAGTCGGACTCCATGGTCATTCTATTGAACTTGCAAGTTTACAAAATAAGTATAAAATGGTTGGAAAAAGTACACAGAACTTTTCTCTTTATTGATCTACGAGTGTACAATGGATACATGATGTCGCCGGCGACAGCGCACGAGTTCAATGTTTCTTGATCGTATGCTTGCGCCTGGATGGGGCTGCTCTCCTAAAGATCGAGATCGAGAATCCTTCGAGGCAACCCGAGTTTCAGTTTCAAAAATTGCCGGTCTAGCCTCGTTGGTTCAAATTGTGCAAGGCGGCAAAGGCAAAAGGTACCGCGCCTAGAATGGGGGAAGGTAGAACGGATAGCCACCGTTCTTGACCTTGAAAACGCTCAGGAGGAAACTGTACGTGATGAACAGAACAGCGCCCCAAATAAGCACGGCCAATTGCTGTCCCTTAATATCCTCCATACGTGGAACCTTGATTGCAAGAGCGATGGTTGCGAAGGAGAGAACGGCATCTGGGAGATGTTAGTTATAACTAGAACCGCAGTCTCAATGATAACATCACTTACAGATGGCTGCAATAATCTGAGTTTCCATGCCGAATTGGTTTTGGAATCCACCAGCAAAGTAGCTGATACCGCCTTGACCATCGCCTGCAACATATGGAACCTTCCGGATGTGATTGAACATCTGTCCACTGGTGAACAGGAGGATGGCAATCAGACTGACGGCAGCCCAGAGGTTTCGGTTCTGGATAATGGGCAGAATGTAGGGAGACAGAACAGTGAGCAAGGTGACGGCACCCATCACAATTGTCACTGCAGAGACGAGGCGCATATAATTGAAGGGTCGAACCAGAGGGGGCTTGGGGCCATCAGGCAAGTGACGACCGATCCAAGCGTACAGTGCCTCGGCGCCAATTGGACTGTGATTGGGGGCAAACAGATAAGTAGGTGGTTCTCAAAATGGACCGAGAGGAATTCGTTCTTACCTGGTGAAGTCATATCTCACCGGCTCGGCGTCCAACTTGGCGAACGGTCCAATGGTAGGAGGAGGAAACAGGAGAAGCACGGGTGCGGTTTGGAGCATAAGCTGTTGGAAGTCCAGATCTTTAGTTTCCATGCAAATTCATATCCAATGGCTTCAATTAGGCTAGTTTAGGGAAAGTTGAATACCTTTTGGAAAACAGCCTTGCCATTGTCGAAATCCAAAGTTCCAAAGACGACCTTCAAGTCATCAGGCTTGGAGCCTTTGTTCCAGCTTCGAGCCATAAGGTTCCATTCGGGATCGAACTCCCGGCACATCACACACCCATAGCGGGCATCCAGCGCCGTTAGAAGAACAACGGCATAATAATCCCGAGGAGCTGTTGTGAGTTCCGCAAATGAGGAACTCTCCAAATCGACAGGGCTGGAGCGAGAGAGAGCTTGGTACTTCTCAAATCTGTCCTGAGAAGGCGAAGATTGCGCGGCGAGAGCGCCGGAGAGGAGTGAGAAACACAAAAAGAGCGAAGTCCAGAACTTCATGATGGCATGACACGAAGCTGAGGAATTGATGTTGTAGACGACTCGGACCAGTTGCAGACCGGAGAAGCCCCAAAGCTTCGTTGCAAGGTGGCCCGTTACGTAATCCTCTCCCCGCCCAAAAAGTGGAGCCGCGTCGGACAGTCGGCGCGTTTCGAGCTTCCCTGCCGACATCAGATTGGATTGCCTGTGATTGCATATTGCATATTGCATATTATATACCAGCACCATGGCAGTCCCAGCAGAAGCCCAGATATCAGAGGTATGTCCTTGGTACGAGAATGAGGTACAAGTGTGCAGGTCTACAAGTGCCAGACTGACTCTACTCTTCTAGTGCGAAATGTCCATCCAAACAACGCGTTTGGAGAAGGAATATGAAATAGTGCGCGCCCATTCCACGAGCATCCTAGATGCCGAAAAGGATCGCGTGAGGCGCATGGAGTATTTACTTCTTCAATTCGAACGCGACGCTCTTCGATCGCAACTCGACCAAGCCAATGAACAATTACTTGGAGCTACGGAATCTGAGCGGGACGCGCGCACACAGCTGGAAGAGGCTTTTCAAGAGATTGACCGTCTAGATGCCCATGTGCAGTCTTCTTCTAGCGAGATGAATAGACTCAGGGTAGGCGTTGACTCCGCGCACTCTTTTGAGAGGGCGAATTATCTAATTGACAAAACAGGACGAGCTCTCAGCTATGAACGACACATCTACCAGCTACAGCAATCTCCTCGCGGATAAACTACGCTTATCTCGGGATCTCACCAATCTCCAAAATGAACTCGACCGTCTCCGAAATCAGGATTCGTCCTATCAAGCATTGATACCAGAGAAACAGGAGCTGGAACGACAGCTGAATTCGTTGGAGGTGCAGCTTGAGAACGAGAAGAATTCACATGATCGCACGCGAGGCAAGAGTTCACAACAGGCTGCAGAAATTGGCAGACTCTCTGTTCGAATCGAAGAACTAGAGAGTATCCTCGCTAGAGAACTGCGAGCAAAACAACAATCCGAGCACGACAACCGACAGCAGAATACAGGATGGGAAAGCCAACGATCAGCCCTCGAGACGAGAATCGAGACTCTCAAGAAACAACTACGGACCGCGAAGGATAAACTCCAAGAGGCCCAGAATGAATTACAGCACCGGCGTAACAATGTGAGAATCGAAAACGAAACATCCGAACCACGATCCCGAACTGTGCCTCTTCAGCGCCCCGGTCCTGGAGGGGCCGATTATCAGGGTGGTGTGACAATTTCAACGCCGGGAGCTGTCAGGGTTCAAGACAAGCTCAAACGACAATCGGCTTTACCAGGGGACAAATCCGCGTTCTCCATAACGCCGTACCTGAATCGTACTAAAAATTCCGGAGGCTCTCCATCGAGCTCGGATGTGGAAGAGGAGCAACCGAAAAGGGCAAAGGCACAGGCACAGGCAAAGGCAAAGGATGCAACCAAGACGGTCTCTCGCAAACCCAGTATCGCTGAAGAACCAGCCGCCGAGCGCGCATCACTTGAGGACCGTGGTCCTTCAACACGTGTTCCCTCAAAAACTACGAAGGGAAAGTCAAAGGCACAGGAAGGGAAACCTGCCAGCCGCCCCGCTCCTAAACCTATTTTAGAAGAAGACAGCGATGAACTAGAGTCTTCACTGGACCAAGGACAAGCTAAAGCCAAGCGGCGAAAGCTTGGAGCTCAGCGAGAACGGTCATTGTTCGAGGACGATGAGGACGAGGGGGGACTTGACATGAGAAAACCCGGGCGCAAGTTAGGTCTTGGGGGTGGGAGAAGTTCAACACTTGCAACTTCCACGCAGTTGTCGGGCGCCAGTGGAATTCCTCGAAATCTTGGCTTCGCTGCACCTATGGGATTTTCTCCTCTCAAGAAAGACCGGAAGCGGTTTTAGTTTTGGAAAAGAATAAATGAAACAATTTCTATCCAGAGAGCAAGTATACTTGTAACGAACTGGTGTTGTTACAGTGGCGTTGCAAAAGTTTGAAACCCCATGTTGCCTACCATTATCGACCGGCTTCTAATGGCAGACGAGTAGCTACTAAGATGGAATGGATTAGCCAATCTACTCCATCTTAGGTAGCTACTTAGAAACAGTCCTCAAATTTGATATGCATTGAGCCGGAGACTTGATGCTGATTTGATGTGGATACTCTGTTTCGTGTGATTCGCATTGTCTGGATAGTCATTTGGTTGGCCTTTCCTGTCATAATGCTCTAATTCAAGTTCAAAGCACCTGAGACATTCTGGTTTACCTTGGAATTGGTATCTTCAAGGTGTTGTAGCAGGAAGACCTTTCTCTCAAAATATATTTGATCCATCATCCGTGTTGGTCAATATATGATTCCTTCAGTGGCTGAAATTAATGAAAGCCCTTGAGGCTTGAAGGAGCAGTGCTGAAACTGTATATTCTATGTGGTCAAGCATGACAAAATTCCTTTCGTGACGTTATACCATCATGTGACTCATGGCCTCTTTATATAGATCGGCTAGGCTCTTCTCGGGCAGTGCTCTTCTAGACCCTAGCAGGAAGTGTTTCTATATCATATATATATATTGGTATAGTCTTACAGTAAATATTGTAGTCACTTTATATAGGCTAGGAATGGACGTCTCAATAGACAATCGATCAAAACTAATGAAATGTATTTCTTTATCTGTGAAAAAGCGAATTTTTTGAAAGTTAAAATGCAAAGGAGATATGCAGTCCTGAAAGCCACCTAGGTAGAGGATTTCCTATACAAAGTCTTGGCTTTCCCTTTCCGTTTTGGTGCTCAGTGAGCCTGATCTGAGTGCTCTGATTTGCTCTCTGAGCATTGCTTATATGAGAGTCAGCGGTCTGTTCAGGTACCCTAATAAAACGCAACACACTACTCCTTACAAAAGTCCCTTCCCATTTTTAGAATGCTCAAATGTTCTATCAAAAAAGGTATTGAAAGATGGGAATGCTCGTAGGCTGTCTGCGTTGGCAGACGAGTCGATCGCGAAGAGACAACACCACCACACTCGCGGAGTGCAGGAAGACGATAGGCAAAGTATGACGCTATAGAGGATTGACAGAACGAATAACAGAACCTTTTATAAGTAGTATACCGATACCGCTACCTCGGTAACCTTAGTAGGATATTTTTATTGTAATTGTTACTAAGTTGTCAGGCTAGAGACCTGTTACTAGGCAAGGATATCGGATAGTAGAGATCAGATTAGACAGTTGATACATAGACTGATTCTTGAAGAGATCAAGAATCCTGAATGATTGTGGGATCTTAAATACACTAGGGTTCGGGTGGACCTCGATATGCAGGGGGCTCGATGGGGATTCGGCTTCGGATCGGCGTCGAATATCTGAGGTGTGGTATACTCCGAATCCCGTGACAACTGCTTTATAAGATTCCTGAATAATCATCAAGCCCAATGATTTATTTACTTTAGGATCAATTTTCTGAGAGGATTAAAACAAAAAATACCTTAAGGTAGGAAGTACTAGCACAGTATATAAATCAATATTTGCTCTCGTAAAAATAGATAGATTCATTTACTGTTATCCATACCATAGAGTATCCTCATAATATTATTGAAGCATCTGCCTAGTACTTCAATTATTTCAAAATTATATAAAGATTAATGTTTTCTGAATACAAAATTAATCCAAATGTTATTCTAAAGCTTTCTACCTTACATATAAATAGTCCCTAGTATTACCTTCATTATAGAGGCTTGAAGTCACACACTCTCACAATATATACTTTCATTTACGTTTTACTTATAGAAAATATTATTATAAGTAGCTTCTTTACTTTTATTATAATATTAAGGAAGATAAGAACTATAGAGTATAGTCTTAGACAAACTACAGCTGCTTGGGCTACTCAGCAACGTTTGCTAATAGAAAAGGCAAGAACTGTTTAGGTAAGTAACTATATAAATCAGAATCATCTAGAACGTTTTTGACGTTAGAAAGATTTAATTAATACTAGTACCAATAGAGAATCAGTAAAAGTTGATATATATAGCACGGAAGACAGAAAACAAGTTGCTTGGGTGATAGTAAACAAAAATAGCAGGGTAACTTTCCTCAACCCTTAAGGAGAAACCTCAAGCTGTATACTGGAAAATGGGCTTTAAATACCCAGTAGATATAATTTGGATAGCTTAGTTTCCTCTCAGCTATTTACGTCAATATTTACAGGAATTCAGTCGTCAGTATTAGCCCCAACTGGGAAATCTGCCTCTCTAATTCTCTCTACTGGTAAATCATCAGTCAAGACTCTTACTTTGATTTTAACAGACTATCAAACCTCGATTACAACTTTAACCAGAGAATTAATCAGTGAGACATTACTTGCAGATAATTCTCTAGCTTTTACGTCTAGACCAGCATATACGTGCTCTTGTCCTGTAATTATCTAGTATAGATATGACTATTCTTGAAGCATGTCTATAATATTAAGAAGCGCCAGTCAATCCTAGTCAATTACTAACAGTAAAAGTCATTGGCTAGCAACAGTTGGTTTCGATATTGAAAGTTTTTTCTGTTAGCCTTTTTAATCGCAGATCACCTGTATATTCTGTAAATTTTGAATAAGTACTCCATATAGCCCTTTTAACCTCAGTCTTATTTTTGAAAGGAAAATGTAGGGAGCCAATAAGGGTGCTTCATTCGCTTGTCTACGACGTACTGTACACCTTCCTATCACTAAAAACCTCCGAGATTAAGAGCTTATCAGACCCAACTTCATCCCCTATTAATTAATTCACCATGTGCAAAAGTCACAGGTAGCATAGGCCTATTATATTTTGGCGGTCGCACGTCGCAACATTAGGTTTATATCTCTCAGAAAGCAATAGGGATCTTTAAAGTCACTGAAGTAGAACGGATAGTATGATTATTATGACTCCATAGAAGAGGCCATGGACAGCCATGCTACGCTACCCTTTCCCACTGGGCCTCCCTATACTCCGAGTTGTTATTATGTATCATCGGTAAGGCAAAATTGAGTTCAGAGCGCTCGATTGGATAGTCAATGGTAACTGAAGTGACCACTCAGGCTTTCTCCTGGTTATTGGTGTGTCCTTATGTTGAACTGTAGAGTATCAAAATGGCGGGGTGGAGTGTCACTTGAGCTAAGTAATTTCATGCTCAAGGAAGAAGAAATAAGTGAAGGCGAAAAGCTAAATACAAACTTTGGTAATAAGTGTCTTTATACCCAGCTCTCCTGTTTATCGGGACACTGGGACGGGTGTATTTGGCATCCAATATCGAAAATCCTCCTAATAACCTCCAAGCTTGAACAAGCCCAAACTGTACATGATAGGTAGACTCCAATGAGACCATCCCCTCCACGATTTCAAGAAGCGCGAGCCAAAGTTCAACTTATCAGTATCATTTCTGGTTCTGCTGAGGCCTTGGCGCGTCCGGCATGCAGGATGGTCTTCTCCGGTCATTAATATACAACATCCAGGCTCTGCAATGATCTTCGCTGTATTTGATGAGTTCACTGATGTGTCCTGTAGCTCCGTGAATTGTAAACAGGAATCGTCCTACTGATAGGTCAAAAGCGCGTTCATGAGCCGTGGCTTTGGCAATCTTGAGTTTCTTACCTCTCCTTCGAATTGGTAACACAGATCAGTAACTGCTTATACATGAACCAAGCTCCGCGGAATAGGAGTCTTGCCCTGTCTCTTATCTCCTCGTATTAACTGACCCGATCCCTGTTCCTGGGCCGTTTTTGAGGGATGAAAATTTCATCTTCGTAGCACCCCTTCGTTCCTTTCTTCTTGGGACCTCTAATTGCGACATTGCGATTTCTCAAATGCGACAAGGAGGGTTGAACATTCAACCCGCTAGATCGAACAGATCGCTTTCCTATCCCGGCTCTATCATCTGGAACCTGATCGACTTCGTTGTACATTTGAGTGGGTACAAATTGAGGCCACAGACGGTTTCTTTTTGAGCATGGTCCGGGGAAATTCGGGAACTGAGAAGAAGAATATGATGGCTCAGAATGATCCTCCCTGAAGTGAGACCACTTCCAAAACATATCTTGATTAGGATCGACATTTGATGATTTTGGGTATTGTTCTATTAGCTCCTGTTGATGGAAACCCCTATGACTGCGGTGAAAAGGTCGCTCTTGGTCAAGGCGGGCATTTTTTGAAGTCATCGTGAAAGAAGTCCCTTGTCGTACGATTATATTTGGTGCCTGATAGCCCCCCCTCATAAATTAATGTCGTTTCGTTAGGATTTTCGATTTCTTGAAATTCTAGGTTGCCACAGGCTGGATGTTCAAAACAATCAAATGGGAACTCTGGCTGTTCATTGTAGCGTCTTGGATAGGAGTTGATCAAATTCAGCCTCGAGTTGGGTATTTCATTTGCTGGATTTGCTAAACGTGGATTGAGACAATCTGCACGTGGATCTGGATTTGTTGGAAACTTTGGCGGCTCATAAGGTCTCGGATAAGGGTCTAAATTCGGCCTTGAGTTGGGTTTCCCATTTGCTGCATCTGCTGGAAGTCGATTGAAATAGGCTGCACGTTGATAAGGATTTGTTAGAAAGTCTGGCGGTTCATAACATCTCTGATAAAAGCGGTCCAAATTCAGCCTTGAGTTTGGCGGTTGCATCCATGCGTGCTTAAGTGCCGTTTCAGTTGTTAAACGACCACCAGGCTCAGGACACATCAAGGATCGCACAAACTCGATGCCAATCTCGGTAACACCCGCATCGCTGAGAGCTAAGCTTGGGAACATCTCCGGTTGTCGCGCGTATAAAGACAGTTGACCAATGGGTTTGAAGGCAGGCCTTTTGGTGAGTATTTGGAAGATAACTTCCCCCAATGACCAGATATCCGGTGAATAAAGGCTGCCCCGATCAATGAAACCGTATAGTTCAGGAGCGATGAAGCCAGTGGTGCCCCTTAGTGTTGTCGACGTTTCAGGAGATTCTTCCATTCTTTTGCTTATACCAAAATCCGCAATTTTGACCCACCATTCCTGCTGAGGTGGATGGGATTTGATGAGAATGTTCTAAATGAGATGTCAATATAATCTTTCCATGAGAAAGTGGCGAAACGCACTTTCGGTTTCAGATCACGGTGCATGAACTCGTTTTCATGCATCATATGGAGGCCTTCAAGTATTTGATATGAGATATCCTGTGCTTGGATCTCTGATAGCGGAGGTTTATCAAGGAGGTAGTCATGTAGATCGCCTAGCTTGAGATATTCCATCGTAATGAAGAGGTTCTGGGGGGTGTTGTACCATCCGAAAGATTTGACGAAGCATCTTTCATACTTTATGTGTACATTAGTAACATACTGGAAAGGTATTATACGGTCACGTACCTTTGGATGAGAGAACTTAGCAATAGCCTCTAATTCGCGGTTGAAATCAATGCGGGCAAACCGGCCCCCTGTCTCGATCTGCTTCACAGCTCGCACTTGGATACCATGTCGTGAAACCTTCCCACATCTTTCTACCCAGACGGTTGAGTAGCCGCCGCCACCGACTTTCCCTTCTCTTTTCCAGTGCTCTGATATCGAGACAAGTCGGCGTCGAGCGGGTTCGGACTCGTGATAGGTGTGTACTGTCTCAACGCTGAAGTCGGGGGCAAATCGGGTCTCTAATTTCGAGTCGCGAACTAGATCAGGTAGGCGGACCATTTTCTCGTTCTAGCCGGCAGTCTGTTTGACACGACGAGCATCCAAGACTCGAGGGTTGAGGCTGAGTTCGTGAAGAAACCCGCTGCCAATAGCCGCCACGTGACATGATGTTCAGGGGAGAGGTCACATTGGGGGCCATATTGGAAGATCGCTGTTTATTGGTTGAGAAATACAATCAGTATGTCCATCGCAGTATAAGTTATGAACACGAATATCCAGACTGAGATATGGATTTGGAAGGAAGCAGATACCTGAAATGCAATTGTCCATACCAGCCGTCTTCAATTTCCTGTGTTGCCCTGTTGTGCTGGGGGAAACTATGGCAAGGTTTAGATCTGTCGGATCCGAGATCTGGGATCAATCGAAATTAACAAGTCAAAGCAACGGTCAGCTGGGAAGGATAGTATAACCAGTCAGGGCTCGAAGAAGCCCTGGTAAAGGGCCCAACACAAGCAAAAGAGCCTTACTCTTGCTATTAGTGGATATGAGGGATCCACTGATGGCATCTATAGCGTGACTAGATTTAACCTGAGGATATGGATATCGTATATCTACTGTGAAGGCGAGGAGTGCGAGGGAGGGGTAAGGGGGCTGTGTAATGTGACAAAGCGAAGTGTGAAAGGGGGGAAGACTGAGCTTCTAAGGCTCTGAGGAGAGAAGAGACTACTCTGTAGTTATGATGTACGGTATGGGCTCTTACTTATCTACTCTCTACTCCCCTAGTTAAAGTTGCCTTCTACTTCTACTCTCTGCTCTCTAACCTTAACTCTATTCTTTCTCTTCTCTTTACTTATCTTCCTATTTCCTAACCTCCCTCTTCTTTATACTTTTTATACTTATTCTGTCTCCTACCACCCTCCCCTACATTTTATACTATTAATACTATATCCCTCTTTCTTCTGCTATACGTCTATCTTAACTAGATAATCTCCTATTTAATATCTTCTACTAAATTACTATCTTACTAGACCATTATAACTCTATCCAGCTTAGTTATACTAATTATATTACTTTCAACTCTATACAAAGCGAGCTTATCGTAAAGAAAACTATTAAGGTAAGCCATGCTAAACTTAACTCTTTCCTCTCTTTACTTTTCCTTTATCTAAAGAGGGCTAAAAGAATATATAGATTATCAAAAGCTAACTTCAGTCAGTAGATTTTCCTACTATATAGCAAGGAAGGCTCTATAGCCCTATAGACCTAGGCTAGTTATTGCAAGGCTGTCTTCTATTACTTTAATATCAACAAGGCAATCGCTATAGCTACTCCTTACTTAGTATCTATTCTGGCCTATAGCTTAGAGTTTCTTTATCAACAGAGATTTCTTTACTATCAGGTCGGGCAAAAAATTCGTATGTTGGATGTCTTATCAGGTCGCTCAGCGTGAACATGTCCTTAATCTCTACGATATTCTTCATTATTTAGAATCCAGCCCGATGGATAGGGATACCACCAAACGGGTCAAACTTATCCACTATAATAATGGTATTTTAGTCTTGCGTATGATTAATGGAGATACTTTAGAAGATGGTGTAATAGTTACTAAGTTGTCAGGCTAGAGACCTGTGACTAGGCAAGGATATCGGATAGTAGAGATCAGATTGGACAGTTGATACATAGACTGATTCTTGAAGAGATCAAGAATCCTGAATGATTGTGGGATCTTAAATACACTAGGGTTTGGGTGGACCTCGATATGCTGGGGGCTCGATGGGGATTCGGCCTCAGATCGAAGTCGAATGCCTGAGGTGTTGTATCATCCGAATCCCGTGACAGCCATAAATAAAATAAGTAAAGAGAAACTATTCCTATAGCACTACATAACAAATACAAATCTTTTTTTTTTTAATTAGAATTTTCATTGTCATATCGCCCTTTCAATCTATTCTAGATTAGCCAAGCCAAGAATAGAAAAGACACCACAAGAAGCTAAAGCTCAGTAGGCCATCGAAAAAAAAATTCCGCTAAAACACTGTTATGGGGCTGAGTGCCAATTTTGGCATAGGCCGGGTATAGGCTGGGTGCTCAATAAAGGCCTCTGATCAGTCTCTAAGTAATCACAGAGGAATCACTGATCACTCAGAGATACTCAGAGCCTTACTAATTGACCACAGTGACTTGCTCTGAGCTGCTCAGTGAGTCTGATTCTGAGCGCCCTCATTAAAGCGGCGGTACCTAGAATAGGAAAGCCCCACATTGCATGGGAAATATGTTACGTATTAGTACCTAGGTACAACCACCCAGGTATAATAGACTAGTAGCAGGGCTTTCAGCTGCTGGTACATATGTAATATATTTAGTTCGTCGGGAAGGGATATGCACGCTTGCCCTTATCAAAAGACCCACTGGAGCTTGTTATCCATTTTGCCGGCAGAACCCCAACTTCCTTCTTCCACCCCCTAAATAATACTCGACGCGCAATATGTGCTCTCTCTTCTCCCTCCGACCAAATGGCCTCTCGAAAATTTCTCTCCTGGGCCAGATCCGATGGGCATCGTCTAAGCGCTGGCAAGCGCGTCAGCAGAAGGATCAATTCACGAGAGAGGCGGCCGTCCAAGGCCTGAAAAGCCGAGCGGCCTTTAAGCTGCTTCAGGTACTCTAGCCTAGCGCCCTTGATCTCCTCGTTGCTGCGCTTTAGCTTACGATATTCCATGGTCTAGATTGATGAGAAGTATCGGCTTTTCAAACGGGGGCAGACTGTGGTTGATCTGGTTCGATCTCTCAAAACTGCTGGATATGATATTCCGGGATAGCTTACAATTGACGTTTATTAGGGATATGCGCCAGGGTCTTGGTCGCAAGTATGTGATCACTACTTCAGATCCAACATGAACAGGATTATCGACTTTCTAGAAAGGAAAGTTTTCTGACATATGCAATCATTAGGTAGCTGTGAACCGCACCCAACCCGGCGGCCGAGTCCTCGGCGTCGACCTTATCCCAGCACAACCCCCGAAGGGTGTATCGACCATCCAGGGCAACTTCCTAGACCCCGAAATCCAATCATATATTCTCGAATTTTTGCGCAATCCCAATAGAGGCAGGCCGCGTCCGCCCGGCGCCATTGACGAGGCTGGACCCAGTGCCTTAGAAACCGAGACCGATACCGAGAGAGATGGAACCGCCACCAACCCCGAGAAACTGGCGAATAAAAGGACGGTAGATGTGGTCCTTAGTGATATGTCCGCTCCCTGGCAACAAACCACTGGTTTTTGGAAACGGAGTCTAAGTAATCCTTACAACAGGATGATGAATACAAGTGGAAACGCCTTTCGAGACCACGCTGGAAGCATGGTACTGTTACCCCGTCACTGCACTGCACACAATCTTGGACCTTAGGGATCTTCCTAAGACACCTCCAGGGCTTATTTCATGGCTAACAATCAAGTTGCATCGCCAGGATTTGTGCAATGCGGCTTTACATTTCAGCTCGATTGTTCTTCGAACCGGAGGACATTTTGTCTGCAAATTCTACCAAGGAATTGAAGATAAAGAGTTGGAAAGTAACCTCAAAGCAATATTCAACAAAGTCCACCGGCTAAAACCTGAATCGTCCCGAAGCGTAGGCCTTTCAACTTCTCCCCGTCCCATTGAGCCCCTGAAGAAACCACCAGCTAACGCCTTTCCAGGAATCAAAAGAGTCATTTTTTGTTGGCATAGATCGGAAAGCGTGATAATGAGCATAGCATAGCAATCCGCATATGATCTACAGCAACTTGACCGACGTCGTTGCTCGTATTGAGACCCTGCTAAAGAATTTCGAGCTCTTCATTCTCAGAGCCCTCATCCCAATCGACATCAGCAAGTGCTGCCTCCGCCTTCTCGTGAACCTAGCTTTGGCGTTAGTAAAGGGATCTTGGAGATACGGTCCACCTCTACCAAGGGAGGTAAAAGGACTACTGTACCTCTTTGAGTCCACTCAGTTCCTCCACATACCCAGGCTCATTAAGGGCCCTGCGAACAAAGTCCCACCCTTGATCTTCATACGCTTTCGTTACTCGATCCGAGCACGCACTACAGCAATTATAACTCTTTCCCGTCACGGCGATATTCTCAAACGTTGCGAGAAACCCTCGGATCTGGTGTGGTACAAGTCCTAGAGGGTGATCCCCTCGATCTTCGTCCTTTTTCAACGGGGCTGGTGCCGAGACTCCGTCTGGGTGCTGGAGAACCGAAACGAGCAACTCGACCAAGAGTGCGGAAGCTATGGCTGCAACACCTGGGCGGGTGACTGTGCATTGCTGGTCGAGCGTTTGATCCTTGACAGACTGTTTTGTGTGGTTAGCTTAGCGTTGCATCCAGAATTTTTGTAATCAAATCTTACGTTTGCTGGCGCCATAACATCGTTGCAAAAGTAGCATCCGAGTTCCGCGGAGCTTTCATCAGTTGCCGCCACACCGTGACGCATTACTACGAATGAATCAAATCCGAGTGCCGCATTCATCACAATTTTCCCGGCCGCTTTCCCCATTACTGTAGGAAGCCAGCGAGACTCGCGCGTATCCATGAGAAGGAAGATAGCATCGTGTTCATCTATGAGTGCTCGAAGGGTCTCGAAATCGGCACGAGTTGCATTTTCATCGATGATCGGATGACCTGCCATTGGCACCGAAAGTACGTGGCCGGCAGTTTCAACGCCAGGGTAAATCTCGGTGAGAGCTTCTGATGCTCGAGAAGCCTTTGGCGCACCGCCATCCAAGCAGTCTGTGAATTTGAAAAGTGGCTGCCGAACGGGATTGGAGAAAGAGACGTTGCCTTGATCCACGAATGTGATTTTTTTGACGCCCCAGCCCTAGAATTTCGTAGATCGTTAGAGAAAAGTTCGGTTTTGTAGATTTTCGTAGATCTTGGGGGGACCAGGCATAACATACTAATAGGTTCCGGGCAACGTAACTCCCAAGAGTCCCCGCACCCAGCAGTAGACACTTGGTATGCTTGATCTTTTCTAGATTTAGCGTGGGACTTATTCGCCATTTCATCAATTTGAGGTTAAGATCGACTGATTGGTCTGCTAGTCTGAAAGGAAATTAGCAAGGAATACTGCCTAAGAGTTACGTATATCAGGTGAAACAAACCTTGTAGGGTCCATATATTCCGCCAAGCTCACAGTCCTCCCGGATAACTTCCCAGCTGGGTTGCGCTCCCAGCCAGTAATCTTTGGCAGTTGGCTCTGCTGCAATTGCTCCTTGGTTGGCTCAGAACTGGATTGTAGTGAAAACACCATACTTCGACCTTCGTCACGCTTCGATTGGGTATCACGGTATCGGAGAATTTGCACCTGGTTGAGACCCCAGCGTTTTCTGACAAGGACCAGTAAGTTTCGCAGCATCCAGCCCGGAGCCTTTTCGTAATTTGAGGGATCTGCAAAGCAAACATAGCGGTTTTCAAGAGCAGCACCGTTGAAGAAACCATTCTCGTATTCCGATAACGAGGCTATCCGCCAGGTATTTTGGTCGGAGCTATTCGAATCCGGCTTTTGTTTGCGGGCTAAGAAAAAGCCCCGTTGTCGGTCATCGACGCTGTAACTCCATGTTTGCACCGCTTCAACGAGAGAGTTACTTTCGGTTGAAGATAGATTCTTCCCTTGGAGGGTGCTTAGATCCTCCTGGTTGGTGTCGGTGTCGGATTGCGAGCCGACTGGTCGCGCGGGAATCCATGGCGGATCGGAATGGAGAGCAGGGAAAGCAAACCAATAAGAGAACTTATACTTTTTCAGGTCTGCGAATGACAGGATAACAAAGGACGAAAGCAATGAAGGACAGGAATATATAGTACCATCATTGATGGCATCCCAGATCTATAGTAATATCATTAGTCGAAATCAATCAAGACAGTGAGACAGGCTCTCCCTACCGTCCTTCCAGCTTGGGTCAGCATATGTGACTTGTCCATATTGCGATAATCCTCGATGGTATTCACATTTTTGATCATACCTTCGGCGCGATAGTGACCGGCGGGTGCCCTATTGATCTAATCAGCGATGATGATCGCCAACCCGGGAATGTCTGGTCTCAGCCTACTCATAGCAAGCAAGGGAATTCCCATGAATCTGGATCCGACAAGAAGCATTATCGGGGTCTGTAGAGCGAATTTCATAGAGACCAAGGACAGGACGAGCCGAGTCGTCCAGCTTGTCATGGTTGATCTTATGAGAAGCAAGCGTCGTATAGAACGGCAAGTCAATATCGGAGGCAAATGGGGCGTACTGCATCTTGCAGGAAAATCGCCGAGTGGCCTTTATTGCTTGAGTTGATCTGGTACAACAGGATGTGGCTGTATGTATGTAGATAAGAGTGAGAGGGGTGAAGTGGGGAAGTTGATGTAATCGGCGGCTGCGCGAACCAGCAAAGTCCCGCGGGAGAGATCAGCCGCCGCCGACGCGTGATCGCCCTGCCCTGTGTCCACCCCACCAGATCTCGGGCTCTCTTCTTTTTCCCCTTCCAAGGTCCTAGTTTCATACTGACGCAAGAATGCTTATCGGCTTGTGTGGAGGTCAGCAGAACAGTCCTATCACTTCGCCACAATCATCACTTCGCCCGAACTAACAACCCTTCCCAAAAAGGCATCTGTGCCGGCAAGCATGCAATTGCCGAGTACCTTATTGAACATCAAGGCTTTCGCCTTTTAGAACTCGCCAGTCAGCCATCGAGTCGCACTATCACCGATGAACCCGATGATCATTTACGACTCCAAGCCTCCCAGGTCAGCAAAACCGGTGCCACGCCGCCCGAACACATTTTCCAAACACCGGAATCCCTTCTCGATTTCGTGACAAAACATTGGCAACAACGCTGGGTCACGACCGATATTGCGGATGGCGAAACCCTCGATCGCTTCATTCTGCGCCCATTCTTCCTACTTGTGAGCGTTGACGCACCTGTCAGCCTCCGCTGGAAGCGATTTTCGGACCGGTTCGTTGTCCCCGACCTCTATCTATACTTTGATCACCTCGGAGGAAGTTGAACTTACTCACAAGGAAACATACAGATGCTGGCGAAGGCAACTAGACCCACCAGATCTTGAGAAATTCGTTCTATGGAATGATCGTCACCTTTACGAGAAGGATATCGGGCGCGTCTACCTGACCGATCGAGCCCAAGCCCGCCTATTCAACTCCTCCTCATCACTCGAAGAGCTCCACCAATCTCTTCAAACGCTTGACCTTGGAGATGAGCAGCGACTCAGGCCCAACTGGGATCAATACTTTATGCAGCTTGCATCTCTTGCGGCCCAGAGAAGTAACTGCATGAAGCGGCGTGTGGGATGCGTGCTTGTTCGAGAACGCCGGGTTATTAGCACGGGGTATAACGGGACCCCGAGACATCTGACAAACTGCAATGAAGGCGGATGTAAGTTTGTTTTCTGGCAATGAACCATTACCTGCGACTAATGAATTAACCCCTAGGTCCTCGCTGTAATCGCGGCGATGGTGGAGGTGTCGGTCTTTCCACGTGTCTATGTCTGCATGCTGAGGAGAATGCGCTTCTGGAAGCGGGCAGAGAGCGTATTCGAGAAGGCGCGATCCTTTATTGTGACACGTAAGTTAATCTAATCTATATCACTTTGGGTGCGGGTGCTGTTGGATCAATCACTCATGAGTCATGGTCATAGGTGTCCGTGCTTAACATGCACCGTCAAGATTGCCCAAGTGGGAATCTCCGAAGTGGTCTACGCCCATGGTTACAACATGGATGAATCGGTACGCAATTGCAAGGATGAAGTGTTTCGTATTTGGGGTAATCGTTGTACTAATGTGGTTGAATTCAGAGCGCCGCCATACTCAAGTCTGCAGGCGTACGTCTACGACAATTTACTCCAGTAAGCACTTTGTCCCGCCAATCCATTCTATTGATGTGGATTTGACTCATCACTAATCAACAATCACAGCCGTCAAATGGACTGGTTTACCTTCAAGCATCAAGCGAATGAGCGATCATTTAGATACACAGCATCAGCACACTATTTCGGGAAAATAAAATAAAAGCGTATTGGAGAGGGAACTATTCTTTCCCTCTCCCCCCCAACATCTCCATATCTTCTATCTATAAACAAGTCTTTATAAAAACCAGATGTCAGCCAAATGAACTGATAACATCAATAAACTACTCCGTAGTTGGAGTAAATGTGGAGCTCTCGACCGCACCCCACCATCTTCTGCCATTCTGCCGGGCAGAAAAGAGTGTGAGTCAGCGGGTGAATTTTGGAGGGGCTCCATCGCATTTAATCCTCTTCTAAGAACCGCAATTGGAACCGCTCACTTTTCCGCACATTTTTTGGAGTACTTGGTTTAGCAGGTTGAACAGTCTCTTCATCATGCCAACTGTTCACCTTCTCGACTACGTTGCGGGGAACATCCGCTCCCTTGTCAACGCGATCAACCAGGTTGGATATGAAGTGGAGTGGGTTAAGACCCCCGAGGATGTGAAGAATGCGGACGTGAGTGTGACGATATACTACAATTGGTGATTCATTGGCTAGTCTTGGAACCCCCGCTAACATTCCTGGTGGTAGAAATTGATCCTCCCCGGTGTCGGCCACTTCGGCCACTGTCTCTCCCAACTCGAAAAGGGCGGCTTCCTAGGCCCAATCAAACAGCACATCGACTCCGGTAAACCCTTTATGGGCATCTGTGTTGGACTTCAGGCTCTATTCCAAGGTTCCGACGAAGACACCGCTGTCCCGGGACTGGGCGTCATTCCCATCCACATCAAACAATTCGACGACAAGACCAAAAGCGTGCCGCACATCGGATGGAATTCCGCGAAGAACCAGGGAGAATCATCGAAGGAACAGAGCTTCTTCGGCTTGCGACCGGATAGCAAATACTACTATGTTCACTCCTACGCGGCCCCCTACACACCAGGTGTCTTGGAGAAGGACGGCTGGTCTGTCGCAACAGCAACCTACGGCGAGGAGGAATTCATCGGTGCAGTCAGCCGTGGAAATATCTTTGGCACACAATTTCACCCGGAGAAGAGTGGCGTTGCAGGATTACGGGCTCTTCGCGCTTTCTTGAATGGTGACCAGGTTACCTCTCTCTCGAAAGAATTAGCTGCCGGCAAGGAAGATGGTCTGACTCGCCGAGTTATCGCCTGTCTTGACGTGCGAGCCAATGACAACGGCGACCTGGTCGTCACAAAGGGCGATCAATACGATGTGCGTGAAAAGAGCGGCGTTGATGCCGGGGGTCAGGTCCGAAACTTAGGAAAGCCTGTCGATATGGTCAAGAAGTACTATGAACAAGGCGCTGACGAAGTCACTATCCTCAACATCACTTCATTCCGCAATTGCCCGCTGGTCGATACACCCATGCTTGAAATTCTGCGCCGGGCATCGGAAACGGTTTTCGTTCCCTTGACTATTGGCGGCGGTATCAAGGATACCGTCGATACTGACGGCACTCACGTCCCTGCACTGGATGTGGCGACGATGTACTTCAAGTCTGGCGCGGATAAGGTCAGCATCGGCTCTGACGCCGTCTTCGCTGCGGAAGAATACTACGCAGCAGGCAAGAAACTGAGCGGTCTTACTGCCATCGAATCTATCTCAAACGCATACGGCAAGCAAGCCGTGGTGGTCAGTATTGATCCCAAGCGAGTCTACGTCGATAAACCCGAAGACACCCACCACCACACTCTGAAAACCGCGCACCCCAACGCAGCAGGTCAAAGCTACTGCTGGTACCAATGTACCGTCAAGGGCGGCCGGGAGACTCGCGACATGGACGTGCGTGAACTGGTGCAGGCCGTCGAGGCTATGGGCGCCGGTGAAATCTTGCTGAACTGCATCGATAAGGATGGCAGCAACAGCGGCTTTGATCTGGAGTTGATTAATGATGTCAAGGCCTCTATCAAGATTCCTGTCATTGCTTCTAGTGGTGCTGGTCTGCCGGCTCATTTTGCCGAGGTCTTTAGCAAAACGACTACCGATGCCGCGTTGGGTGCGGGTATGGTAAGTAGATATTATCCAGGTCCTAATCTGCAAGAAAGTGAAATTGACAAATTGCTAACCTTTTGAATTATAGTTCCACCGAGGTGAATATACCGTCAGCCAAGTCAAAGATCACCTCCAGGAGGGAGGATTCCTCGTTCGTCAATTTGAGGCGACGATCTAAATTGGCAAGGTGATGGCGGGCTTGTAGAATCTTTCAAAGTTATAGATATTATGAAATGAATGGAACGTGATTATAAACCAATATATCTCGATATGGATGACAGGTACTCCCTACTACTCGTAATATGTATAGCGGCGCCTCAAGCGGTGAGTCACGCGACCATTCATACGATGTCAATAAGTATATATCTGATATAAATGTAAACGTGTAGTACTCTGAACACAAATCGCGACGATATTGTAGACCGAACCGATTAGAACTATCTAAAGGTAATTACGGTGGGCATGGAATAAAATCGAGGCATCCAGTCTCGAAAAGATGACAAACCACCGAAAGCAGCTAAAATCTCGCCGAGTGGGTCAGTCCACGTGACTCATTCACCACGCAAAGTGGCGACGGCGGCACTTCTCCTCCGACAACCTCAACCTCAACCCTTCACCACCACCACCCACCTTCCCCTCCCAACGTACTCGACATCGCATATCCAATTCCCCTTTCCTTTTCACCCGGCAAGTGAATTTACATCGTACTAAGCAGTATCTCTCGGCCTGGTTTCGGACCGATCTCGATTCTCGTTTGACAGGGTTCCCCGACCGCGAGGGCGGACAACCGGTCTCACTTTGGGTAAAGGAGGTGGTTCTGCGAGTTACAAAGGAACTGGTTCACTCGCCGCGTCCTGTTTCAGTGTCAGCGACGGTTTCTTTCTTTCTTTTTCACTTTCGGAATTTGTATTTTCCATCTGTCTTGAATCATATGCAGTTTGAACTCTCACCTTCCATCATTCAAGAGAGAGATATCCCAACAATCTACCATCCCCTCAAGAGATCCCTCAAGTGATAGGCCCCAGCGACTATCCAGGAATCAACTTACTGTGCTGCTCTTAATATCTTGCTCGTGCTTCGCTCTTCCCAACCCCTCTCCCCCACCTTTCAGTTGACATTCTTTCCCTTCCCCTCTTACTTCTTGCTTTCTCGTCTGTACTTCTGTGATTGTGTCGCGCCTTTCATCTTCGGTCTCAATCTTTTCTTCAGGCCCAAAATACTTGCTGCACACACACAGCTCAATACAATGTCATCGTCCGTTCATTTCAAATTCAAGTCCCAAAAGGAGCCTTCCCGGGTCACCTTTGACGGTACTGGTATTTCTGTTTTCGAACTCAAGCGAGAGATTATCAGCCAAAGTAGATTGGGTGACGGATCTGATTTCGAACTATCTATCTACAACGAGGACAACGGAGAAGGTAGGCCGATGGGAATCCCCAATCCCCCGAGAAACTTGACTTGTCCTCCCAGCAGTATTCTAACATACAGTAGCTTATGACGATGATACGACCATTATTCCACGATCAACCTCGGTCATTGCCCGCCGATTGCCTGCAGCTCGACCCGGCAAAGGCGGCGCCGCTCGATATGTCTCCGGGAAAATGCCCGTCAATGCCCGCAACGCCTCTCGCATCGAACCGTCCACCACTCGCGCTGCACCTGGAGGGGCTCGTGCAGTCAGCAATAACGTCTTGGAGCTGAACAATGCGCAAACGGAAGAAGAAAAGATCAATGCTCTCATGAACCTGCAGGCCAGTCAATGGAAGGAACAACAGCAAGAGATGGCCAAGTAAGTATCTGTGTTTGTGTTTGTATATTCTGTCCAAGTCCAAAAACACTAACACCTTGACGCAGTGCAACCCCAGTTCCATTCGGCCGCGGCCGCGGCAAACCCGTCAATGTCCCCAATCACCCTCCTCCGCCTGGCTACTTGTGCTATCGCTGCCGAGAGAAAGGTTTGTCCATCTACCCCCAACAACCATTTCATCCTCAAATCTTAAACTAATCTCTTTGATATCTATAGGTCATTGGATCCAGGAGTGTCCAACTAACGACGATCCCAAATACGACGGCAAATACAGGGTCAAGCGATCCACCGGCATCCCGCGATCTCTCCAGCTTTTGGTAGACAAGCCCGAGTCTCTGGCGCCCGATGGATCCACCGACGATTCACGAAACACCGGAGTCATGGTGAATGCCGATGGAGACTTCGTCATCGCGAAGCCGGATAAGGCAGCCTGGGAACTTTACCAGGAAAAGGCGAATGCATCAGCGGCGGCTGCTGCCGAGGCCGCTGCCGCGGAGGAGAGCAAGGCTCTGCAAGCTAAAGGTCTGGAGTGCCCGATTGACAAGCGGATGTTTTTAGAGCCAACAAAGACACCATGTTGTCAGAGGACCTATTGCAATGATTGTATCTCAAATGCCTTGATTGAAAGTGACTTTGTTTGCCCGGGATGTTCCACTGAGGGTGTCCTTCTTGATAACCTTATTCCTGATGAAGAGGCTGTTTCCAAAATCAAAACTTACGAGGCGGAGAAGGCCGAGGCTAAGAAAGAAAAGGAGAAGCAAGCTGCTGCTAGTCAAGAAGCAGCGACAGTTAATGAGGCGGAAAATAAGGAGACTGCTACCGCTCCCAAGGAAAAACAATCTACTCCTCGTACTGAGACGGACGATGCTGCATCAACACAGTCAAGGAAAAGGCCCGCTGAAAATGATCTAACTCCAGAGTCAGCAGATGCAAATGCGAACTCCGACACTGCGGCGAAGAAACCACGCAGTGACAACCCGCCCGACGCATCCAATGCCAGTGTCGATGGTAATGCCAAGGACAGCCCAGCCGAAGCTGCAATTCCCCCCTTCAACGGCCAGCAATTACCATTCACTGGACCCGGCATGATGCCCCCATTCTCCAATTCCGGCTTCGGCAACGACGCGATGGGCTTCATGAACCCCATGGCCATGGCCAACGGCTTTCCCAATATGGGTCCCGGTGGATGGAATATGCCCAATATGCCCAATATGCCATTCAACCAAATTCAACCTGGCATGTTTGGCGATCAATCGAACGGGTTTCCCAACATGTTCAATGGCGATCCGTCCATGGGTATGGGATTTCCCCCCATGGGCCAAATGCCCCCGATGCCAAATGGCGGATTCCCCGGTCCAAACATGGGCAATTTCTCTAACCAGCAACGGACTTCGTTTGGTGGCCCTTACTCGCATCAAGAGGACTCGCCGTATTTTCGACAGCCGGTGAATCCTCAGCGTCACCAGGCGAGAAATCGCAGGGTGAGACCGAGTGATTATCGGGAACTCTGATGTGAGTTGAGCTGAGCTGAGCTGAGCTGAGCCTAGAAATGCGAGTTCGGGTACGGGTAATGGTTTGGCGTTGGTTTGGATGCACCCTTGTACAGGCATCCCTTTCTCATTTACTTTTTTCTCTTTCTTTCTTTTAGAGCGGTGTGATTTTTCTTTCTTCATTTTCTTTTCCCATTCTATTTCTGTTCCCCTTTCTCCTTTCCCCTGATATCTTCATCTTCATCTGATTCTTATCGTGCCTCCACCAATCAGCGGTACGGAAGTTCCCATGCATTTCTAAAAACCATATGTATTTCTAACCGAGTTGCCCAATGAAGCATGATTCATTTTACGAACATAACTTAGTTACTTCAGATACTCCCGAGAAGACCAAAAAAATCAAATTGCTCTTTATGTTGATCAGTGCCGACTGTACTACGTCGTAGTATTCTGCATTTACCTACCATCTATAGAACCTACTTGTATACTCCGGAAGTACGCGCTTTGCGACATTACCAAACTCCGACCCTAGAACTAGTCAAAAATAGATGAACCTACAAATTCAAAACAAAACCAAAAATATGCAACACTGCATCATAAAAGAATCCGATCGCAAGGAGCTGCCCAAGTGGCAATATCAACCCAATTGACTGGCACCGCACGGACTCGATCAGGTGATGCTCCGTTTCCCCCAAGAGAAAATCCCCCCATCTTCAAACTTCCCCCCCGTCTTTAATCAGTCATATCCTTATCCACCACCTCCAACTCAATCCAACCTTCACAATACTTTCTCCCAAGATCCCGAGTTCAAATCAACTATGGCGAATTACTCAAGTAATCATAGTAGTAGTCACTACAATCAAATGACCCGATTTCTTGACCAAGAATCCACAGCTCTCGCCAGCTGCTATTCCGTTGACTCCTCTACCTCCAAGGTTCACGGCTTCCACTACTGCACTACGCTGGGCGCCGGTACGTCTACGTCCCTCTGATCCCCATTCCCACCTCCGCCAGGCCAGCCATACTAACCCCACACGCAACAGGAGCACAGTGGTGTCCCTGAGGTCCCCTCAGGGTCTAAAACCTCCATGAGAAGCCCTCTCCCCGAGCGTCCCGCCCCGAGCGCGGAACGCAGCTCCTGGCCCGGAAACTACCGGTCCGAGTACAAGGGAGAGGCGATGCATACTATTCCGGAAGAGTGTGAGAGACTCTTCTGTGACACACTTTCTGCGACTTTCCTTGGTGAGGGGATCGGTGCGGAACAGGAGTCACTGGGAATGGGTGCGTTTCAGAACATTCAGCCAGAGTTTAAGTTCGGACATGATCGAATTCAGAAGTGGGTGGAAGTTTGGGACTATGCTGGCGACGCAATCTATCGTGGCTTTGTGGTAGATATGAACGGCGAGCGAACTTTCTTCGTGTTCTTCGAGGATGGCGCTCTGGCCCACGGCCTTAAGTCTGGGTAAGAAGAAGAATCCCCTGCACTACTGCACTACTGCACTACTGCACTACTGCACTGCGCAATTTGACTCATGAGTCATCATTCTACTTCCCCCGGAGAGTTCTTAGTGCTTATGCTAACACCAATTTCCCCAGATTAATCGCGCTCTTCGAACTCGCAGGGGTAGAAGCATTCGACTGCTCACAGATCGTCGCCTGCGTCAAACGTTCACAACACACAAATGAAATGGAACTCGTTCGCAGTCTAGGATGGTGTGGGTTCAACCTGACAACCCTTGAGCCGTGGTCTACGGCTGGGGATTCGGGTCCATTCGTTAGCCCAAAATGGCTTTTCCTAGCGGCAGAAGTATAGCCGTTCGCGCAGCGATGAAGAGTGTTTTCGCTTTCGCTTTCGCTCGACCCTCGCGCGCCGGTGCGTCTTTCGCTTATTCAAAGCGCTGGCGAGTATGACGCTTTATTTTTCATGCGTTGTAGCTTCTGGAGTTCTTTATTCTATTTCTTTTCTTTTGTGCGCTTTTCTTCGCTTTCTTTTCAAAATTGTTTTTTTTGAAAGCCTCGATGATCAGCGACGATGACCTTGGTCATTACATCGGCTATAATCAGTTCTTTCCTATAAGGTTCTCTTCTTCATGTTTGCCGTATCCCAGAGATAGTCTATGGCATCATTATTTTTCAACCTGTGTTCTAACAACGAACTATTTCTCAATCTCTCCTATACTTTCCCCATAGACATAAGGTAGCTGATCATCGATCTTACCCACTTATACCTTAAATTACCCCAACCCAAAGTGGGACCCTGACTCTTTTATAGAAGCTCGGCGATAAGATAAGCGATCAGTAGATCAGCCACCGCAAGGGAAGTATGACAACCGGGCGCATGCCATCAGTCCATCCCTACTTTTCAACTTCTCTCCATCAACCTCGCAAGCATATAAAATGTCGAAAGAAGCGAGCAAAAAAAGCCTATTCCCACGCTTTCTCCTCCCATCCCAACCCCGAAACCACTCTCCCCAGTCCCCCCAATCTCCCCAGTCTCCCCCACCACCCTTGAGCTCAAGCTCTCCAAGCTCAAGCTCCACCCCCAACTTGAACTTGAACCACACCGACAAATACCTAAACGGCCACGCCTCCTACCTCCGCTGCTCCGACTGCGCCGTGCACCTCTGCCTAACCTCCCAAATAATCAGCAAAGGCTTCACAGGCCGACACGGACGCGCATACCTCGTTTCAGGCGAGGTATCCGGCGCCGCGGCGCCAGCCGTATCAGTCAGTGCATCATCATCAGCCACAGCATCACTGCCAAATACACTCTTACAACGACCCGTTCCTCGCCAACTAGTCACAGGCGCACACACGGTCAGTGACGTCTGCTGCGCCTTTTGCGGCAGTGTGCTAGGCTGGAAATACGTTGCTGCTGAGGAGGAGTCTCAGCGGTATAAAGTGGGCAAGTTCATTCTTGAAACTAAGAAAACTATGGCAACTTCGTGCTGGGAGTCGCCGCCGTCAGACCCAGAGCCAGAGCTAGATGATCATCGAGTTCGGGTTCAAGTTGACGCCGACGCACTGCCCAGAGGGGAGCGGGAGGATCGGGATCGGGACCGGGGTGATGTGTACGCGAAGGCAGAGGTCGAATTTGATAGCCAGGATGAAGATGAATGTGAGGACCTTTTCGCTGGTATATGGAGTTCTGGTCTGGCCAGTCGTCGTCGAAGTCGGAAGGTTGAGCGGAAACCTACGATGTTTGGAATTTCGTGAGGGTTTGCAGGGGAGTTGAGCTCTCAAGGATGGGAGGGCTTGAGTGATGATCGTTTACGAATTTCCTGGTTTTTTTTTTTTTTTCTCTGGCATTTCTTTGATTTCCTTTCCACAATATGATACCCCCCATACCCTGTCGACTTGGACTCTCTAGCGATGTTCATGCCCTGTTTCCCATTCTATTATTAATATGCAATTAATCAGATACCATATACTTCATTTGCACATTTTTGAAAGGCGATACCCTTACTGGAGGCTTTTGATTCGTAAAGATCCATAAACTGAAATGACTCTTTTATGAGCTTGATGATAAAAAACAAAAATGAGAAAGATAAGAAAAGTAGATATGACTTGATCCTAGAACGCCCGAGGAATCCAAAAACCACTAATAAGACAGACCATGAAAGCCTCAAGCCTATGCGTCATCCACCCGCGCGCGCTTGGAGTCTTCTTCCGTCCCAGCATCATCGACAGCCGGGCGCTTCGATCCCTGCTGGGGGGGTTGGGCAGCAGCAGGCTTCCGACGAACCAGAGATGAAAGATCTGTTGCACCCTTGCTCACAGCGTCCAGCTTTGCTTTCTGATCTGTCGGGGACTGGCCGACGATTTGGCCAAGGATACCCTTTAGCATGGCTTCGTTCCCTTGATCTTCTTGCTCGAGTGAAACGGGAGATCGGCGGAGGTCAATCAGCTGCAGAATTTGTTAGCATAAATGTATAAAATGGATCACGAATAATCCCCAATGGTGGCAGGGTGCAGGACTCACTCTTTGCTCCATATCAGCGACAATCTCCTTGACATTTGCAATCTTCCGCTTCGCCGCAGTGACCTTGTCCTCTTCCATATCTGTGGCTGCTTCCAGCTCCTTCTCTTCCCGTCCCATACGAACCTTGCAGCTCTCAATAGCACGCTCCATATGCGTCGCGGCTTCTTTGCGCATGGCCTCATCAATGGTCTTCGGTTGCTGCTCTTCCTCTTCATCGCCTGGTTGTTGCGCAGAAGCAAACTCGAGCGCAAGAGACAATTTGTAATGGCATTCTGCGACGGAGGGATCTTCGAAGGGGACCAGGGCATTGCGAAGTTCAAGTGCAGTGCGTAGATCAGTCACCGCATCAGAGAATCGCTCGGCTTCCAAAGAAATTTCCGCTTGGAGGTCATATGTATCCGCGAGGCGTTCTTTGATGTGTTTCAGATCTTCTGGCAAGTCGGCGGAGGTGGCTTTGCCTTTGCCTTTGCTAGTATCGTTCTCCTCCGCAGCTTCCAGTTTCTTGAGATAAAGGATGCGCGCCAGGTCTAGCACCTCAAAGGCATTGGCGAAATCATCATCATCTTCCTCCTCCTCCTCTTCTCCTTGTTCTCCATCTTCCTCCTCTTCATCCGAGTCGACAAAATTATCATCACCAGAGAACTGGAAAAGCGGCTTCGATTGCGCTGGCTCAGACTTTGTTTTCTCATCCGCTGTATTGGCGCTGGCCTTGGAGTTTGAAATCGCGTCTTTGATCAATCCCTCGCCCTTGGGTGCTGGTTTGGCCGAGGAAATATTCGCGTTCTTCGGTTGCCCTTGAGCAGGCTCGCCAGCTGCCTTGGAACCGAGCACGTCGCTGTTACTGACGGCGACATTATATAGCGATTTACCGTAAGAGTAGAGGAGATCGGCGTTCTCGGGTGACAATTCGCCATTCAGCGCGGCCTGGAGCTCGGTGGCTTGCGAGTAAAGCTCTGATGCGGCGTTGTGATCTTTGGAGGCATCTTTGGCGGCGGCGCGGGCGATGAGATCGTCCAGTTGGGCGCGCGTTGGTGCCTCGGGGGGTGGAGAGGTAGTCATTGTGTGGAGGGAGAGGGAGAGGTTATATGTAGGTGGAGGTGCCGATGTGGGTGAGTGTAAGAGGTGAAGAAGTGTTGCGGTACCTTTTGCCCTTGAGTGAGGCTTATCGATAAGACCAACTTTCCACGCGAGCGCGTCACGCGTCTTACTCGTCTTTTCCACTTCCAACCTCGTTTGGATTTGGCGACTCTCCAGACTTTGTGATCAAGTTGATCACCCTTTGCTTTTGCTTTTGCTTTCAAATCAATCATCGGATTGATTGACTGAATTTTTCAAATATTCAATATCTCACCCCCTCCACGCCACAGCGCGTTCTCTCGCAACGATGGATCCCACCTCCACCCCACGGCATACGGATCGCTTCAAGATGGGAAATACAGATCCAATTCCCTCGTCTTCGCCGGCGTTTGGAACACCAGCACGTCCATTTCGACTGAACAAATCCAATGCGCCACCTACCAAGACATCTATTCTACCTATCCTACTCCCTCCTTCCACCCTCCGACCAGTCGCTTTCCGAACCTTCACTCGCAAGCACAACCTCACTATTTCCTCCTCGGCGCTCCAGACATTGGCAGCATTCGTGGGCAAAAATTGTGGCTCCGGCTGGCGAGAAGAAGGCCTAGCCGAGAAAGTCCTGGACGAAGTTGCGAAATATGGAAAAGGGCCGGAGGAGGAGTCATTGTCGAAGAAGGGAAAGGTGCCTCTCTCAAAGCTATCCTGCAAACTCTCGAAGGAAGTATGAGTGGTGGGCGAGTCGTCGCTGGCAAACAAAACAACTCCGCAGATAGATCTGGAAATATTTCAAGTATGGGTGCTGATGTTGGTCGTATTGACTTGAACGATCATTCCCAAGGAGGTTCATTTGCCTCGAGATCCGCCGATAATGAGGAAGATGAGTCCCAGCTATCAATTCACCCTCGGCACTGGTTAAAGGCGATTGAAGCCTTTGACCTCCCCCGCCTAACCTACAACGTCGACAAGAAATATTTCGAGACCCTCAAGTCAAAGCCGACATTGTTCCCACCCCCGTCACACAAAACTGCCCTGTTCAGAGACAGGTATAACCTGGTCTATCAGAGATTGCTTCGCAACGAGTCTTTCCAAAGCTCGTTGGGAATCGCAGGTGTTCCTTCACTGCAGCGATCTTCCTCGAATCTCGCAACGGGACAATCGTACAAATTAACGCCGATTGCAAACCTGCTCGGCCGGAGCGGTACATCCCATCTCCTTTTGGGACTCTTGACAACATCACCAACCGGTGATTTATCACTGGTAGACTTGACCGGGACCGTGTCTCTCGATCTGAGCCATGCAAGAATGATCCCGGAAGACGGAGCTTGGTTCGCACCGGGCATGATCGTGCTAGTCGATGGTATCTACGAAGAGGAAGAAATGATCAAGGGATCTGTCCTGGGCGGCAACACTGGCGTGGGCGGTTCCATCGGCGGCCATTTTGTCGGAGTATCTATCTGCGGCCCACCATGCGAGAGAAGAGATATTTCTCTTGGAACCGGGAACCGCCAAGGTAGCGGAGAGCTCAGTTCAAGCGGCGGATTCGGCTGGGTTGACTTTCTAGGAATTGGCAGCGAGCGTGCCCAGGGTGCTCGTATGAGGAGAATTCAAGAAAAGTGCCTTCAGGGCGAGCGGGAACAAGAATCTCAAACGGAGACCTCAGCACCGCCGAGATTGAAAGTCGCTGTGATGAGCGAGGTCAATCTCGACAACATGAGAACTCTCGATGCGCTACGCAAAGTCTTCAGTTCCTACAATGACCTAGCCCTCCATGAACGCCCCCAGACTTTCGTCCTGATAGGCAACTTCGTGCAAACAGCCGTCATTAATGGAGGTGGACGAGCAGGGAGCATCGAATACAAGGAATACTTCGATTCCCTCGCTGTCGTGTTGTCCGACTTCCCTGCTTTACTCCAACACTCAACATTCGTCTTTGTCCCCGGCGACAATGACCCCTGGGCCGCTGCCTTCTCCGGAGGCGCAGCATCAACAATACCACGCCATCCAATCCCAGAACTATTCACATCTCGAATCAAACGCGCCTTCGCAACCGCCAATGCAGAGCTAGATCGATCACACCAGAACTCAACCCCCGCACCACCAGGCGAAGCCTTCTGGACCTCAAACCCAGCTCGTCTATCATGGTTCGGACCCGTCCACGACATCGCCATATTCCGAGACGATATATCCAGCCGTCTCCGACGAACAGCAATAAACACCAAGACAGACGAAGACGAGCCCGAACCCGACACTACAATGCACGAAGCCCTAGAAAACGACACAGTCACCACCGAGCCCGAATCTGTACCCGCAGCCGCAAACAAACCCGACACAACATCCCCCGCCGCAACGATGGCGCGACGATTAGTCAAAACAGTCCTTGACCAAGGCACACTTGCCCCATTCCCACTGACCATGAGACCGGTTCTTTGGGACCACGCCTCAGCCATTCAACTGTATCCACTACCGACGGCTCTGATCCTAGCTGATGCCGAGGCTAGTCCCTTCTGTATGACCTATGAGGGATGTCATGTTATGAATCCCGGACGATTGCTTCCTGAGGGTGCGGTGCCGACTGTTAGATGGATTGAGTATGATGTTTTGCGGAATCGGGGGAAGGTTAGAGAGGACCGGTACTAAGCAGACGCCGGCTGGTATGAGGTCCTATGCATGCAGATTTTGAGTTTGCTTTGCTCTACTCTACTCTAGTATGTGCATGTGCGGGTATTTGCGCCGTGATGTTGGCGGTTGGAAGGATACTAGTATAAAATATAGATAATACCATTTGGAATGGAATGATGCTACGATAATAAACCCCCCCCCCCTCTCTTCTTTTTTTATTTTCTACCGAATAGTGTACGTAGAATAGGTAGGTCCGGTAGTAAATATGCATATAATTCGCAGCGGAAATTTCTAAGAATACAATCGTGAAGGGTCGAACATCCCACGGCAATTGCCGAGTAAAGTTGTTCAAGTTCACCAGGATTAACAAATCCTAAGATAAGATTTGGAAAAAAAAGAAGAAACAATAGATTCCGTTCCATTCCATCCCGCCACCTGGCAGTAAACATGGAAAATAGAAAAAAATCAAGCAGCTAGTCAGTCCACTAGTCGATTGTGATGATATCGGCATTTCCCGGAGCGCCATTATTCTGCTGCTGCTGCTGCTGCGGTGGTGCCTGTACCTGTGGCTGTGCCTTCAGGTTGCTCAAATTCAAGTTCAAGTCAGGTTTCGTTTTCTGTTTCGGGGCGGATGTCACTGGCGCTTGCGCTTGCACGGGCGCTGGACCTGGTGGTGGTTGGGACTGAGCCACAGTGCCGAATTGTTGCGCTTTTTCTTGTTTCGTGGGCTCGGGGATGGGCTCAGGAGCACAGGAGCTGAGGCATTCATGTAACTTGGCAAGGAGATTTCCCACCTTTTCCGTGGAAGATAGAGCACCATCACCTAGACCTTGCCAGCCATCACCCTTGGAATTGTAAACCTGTTCGCGCACCGAGGTAAAAATTTGGCTCTGGCCTTGAGCCTGAGCCTGAGCTTGACCAACGCCACTTTTGAAATCTTCCAGTACCCACACAGTACGCCCTTGCCTCGGCCGAGCAGATAATCGGAAACGGGCTTTCTGAGCATAGTGGATTTGGAAAACCGTTGGGCTTCGGACAATGATGTGTATAACTGACGACGTTGGCTGGACCGGTTTGGTGATTTGCTCCAGGCTATGTAAGAGCGGGAACGTTTCGGCTATAGAGGCAAGGGCAGACTCGACGCCTGATTCGGAGAATCGCTCATTCAAAGCCACAGTGAGTGATTCTTGAATACGACGATGGGGGCTGGGACTGTCGAAGTCTATCCTCAAGCGTAGGCGGAAGAGCGGGTTGGAGTTTGATAGAACAGCTTTGACCTCAGTATAGGACGATAGCGGCGGCTCTGAAACATCGATACTGAGGCGGGCAGAGTGGAGTTTGGTTTCTCCATATTTGAATGCGATCTGTGATAGCGACAATGACCGAGGCTCCATTTTCCTCTGGAGGAGAGACTGGAGTATATAGATGACGCAGTCCAGACGTTGAAGACGCTCAAGAAGAGGAATAAGCACAGCTTGGCCAACAGGGACAAGCAAACGGATTGCGAAACCGGATCCCTTGTCTTGTACGACGAGCGATGGATCTGTGCTAGAGATAAGAGGGAGGAGGGATCTGATGCAGAATCGGAAAGAACCGTAGGCAACCAAAATGGCCGAGTGAGTCTGGCGATCGATTCCCTTGAAAGAAAGGCGGACCGAATCTCGCAAGTAGGATCCTTTTTGCAACGCTGGAGGCAAGGCAAGTCGGAAGACGGCTGGGATAGCGTTGGCCTTATAGCTGAACACGAGGTCTGGAACTTCGAGCTTCGGCCCTAATCGCAGTTGTTTCAATGGTGGATGGAACAGCGCCCCTGGCAGGTCAGCCAAGCACCGGGCGTTGGCATAAATTGCCAATATTCCTGACAAGGAATGGACGAGTTCTGAGCAAGTGAGAATAGTCAAAATTTTGAGAGGGCATCAAGTTGTTGCTGATAGGATGGGCTTGTGCTGAGTCCTTCATGAAATGCGACAGTGGCAAGGGACGCGTCGCGTCTGTTGGTCGAACAAGGATATGAACTAGCCACCATTTATCGCCATCCATGCTACTTGTCGCAGCAACGACCCAGCGGCGATCCCATGACTGGTGACTGAAGAAGGCAGAGCGCAAGGTGTTTGGAGGGAAAAGACGGCTGACGTTGACTCCGAGGCCTCTCTGGTTAATGCTTTCAAGACCGAGCGGCTTGATGCCTAATTCGATCTGGTTCACTGCAGTGTGACATCTCAGGCGAGTAACCCGTGAGAGCATTTCATCAATCGCAGACTTGTGCTGTCGCTCAAGGTCTGGTCGCTCCAGGGCACTGGATGGACCAGACAGGGTAATTGCACCTGACAAAGGCTCAGCGGAAATTCTGAGATCCCGTGAGGCTGTCAATTGCATGTCAAGGTGGCAGTCGCTTGGCTCTGTTTTTGATAACTGAGCACGGAGTGATAATGTATGACTAGCGAAAAGTAAACTCTTTTTGAGAGTGTTGAAAGCGGTGGCGAGTAGGTGTGATGTATGTAATGCGATAACGCTCCGTAGAACCTGCTCAAGCGAGAGCACAGTCGAGTCAAAACTGATGTTATCGCTGTTAACCCTTTGGCCGTCTCGAACCCAGCGAAGACCGAGATATGGAACCTGGTTCTTGTTTCCATTGGCACAATTCCGGGAGCCTCGTTGAACACCGATCTCTATCCAGCTTTTGGGACCGGCCCTGGATGACCAATACTGAATGACCAATATCCGATGAAGCAACTCAATACGCAAAGAATCCGACCAAGCACCTCTTGCAAGGTCCACAGCCTGTCGATGCAAGGTACTTATTTTATTCGTGAGGACCAGGCCGTGGAGGAAGTCGAAGCATCCCGATAAGCCGTCGTTGTGAAGAATCTCGTTGACCTTGGCATCAAGCTCGTTGAAGATTCGGCCTTTCGGAATTTTAGATGAAGGGGAGAAAAGGAATCGAATATCCACGAAGAAAAACTGTGAAGTATTCGTTTGCTCTGCCACAGCAAGATCAAGCTCGAATTCCCCAGGAACTGTAAATGTAACCCGGCCATCGTGAATTCGGTAATTGCGCAAGGCATGAGGTACTTCGTCGTATACCGCTAATCGCACGCTGATGATGCGATTGATCTTGCGCAATTTTTTGAGCGTAGATTTGGCTGTCAATGGTTTTGGGGGCTTGTAGCCAAACTTAAATGCAGCGCATTAGGAAAGACCTCCAGAGAATAAATATAACGGAAAACACAACTGAACTTACATCTGGTAGAGATCTAACCCGGCCCCTCGAGAGAATCTCTAGAGCCGTTTTTAGATCTGGGTTGGCGACTTGCGCTCGGACCAGATCTCGCTTCATTTCACCCACATATTGGACCGCTGAGATATATGCTTGATGTCGCGTACGTATGAAGTTTTGAATATCAATAAGTCGGCTGACTTCCGCAGCCTGCCGGCTCCACTGAGAGAGAACCAGAAGCTTGATGAACTCGGCCCTTTTGGCATACGCGAAATCAAGAATGCGCAGCTTCTTGTGCACATTTTCCGAAGACTGATTGCCGGGGGTTTTCCCATTTGTCAACGCAGAGGATGGCTCATGAGGCACTTGGATTGCGGCCAACTCAGTGATTAACTCCGACAGATCGTTCCAACATTGCTGCACAGCTCGATTGATAAGGGTGCCGAACGGGAAAAACCCTTGCGTGATATGAGGCAGTTCGAATGGCGTTGAGTCATTATCTCCAGCATTACGGATGGGCATCTTTGATTGTTGGCTCAAAGCATCGAGTCCCCTTCCTGCGCCATTTACCAGGACCGGCCCGTTCGTAGCAGCAGGATGTTGGCCGGACTTCTCATAATTCCCATATGAGCCAGATACACCATTCACTGTCTCATTGGGAGCCGGCCTTTGCACAAATCCCTCGGTGTTGACATTGTCCATGATGACGCCGGGCATGTCTAAGGGAATCTTCTCGGCAGAGCGCGTTGATTAACCGGCGCCTTCCCTTCCTGGGCCTTCTGCGCGGCGCAGAACAAGCGATCTAATCGAGCCGCTTGCCTGGGATCGAAACAGATGACGCCGGGGGAAGGAAGGGAAGCTGGGTCTGAAGACTAGGCGAGAATGACGTTTCTCAACCCAGTGCCATGCGGTATCACTAGCCACCCCGCACAATGGCCCCGGGCATAATCAAGAGAACCGGGCGCAATAAAGCAGCTCGTACTGGGATTCGGAACCGAGGAGAAATTTGGATCGGATGTGCGGAGAAAGGGCGTCTTTGAGTGAGGCCGTTCGGGGTTGCGCCTGTGATGGCGGTTGCGTGATGCGTCTAGGACCGACGGAAGAAAGCCCGCGAAGAGGCAAAGGTTGTCGCAAGGAAAGTGGCTAGACGGATAAGCCCGGTGAGGGATCGAAGGGAGGTGAAAGGAGGGAGAGTGAGTGGGATGTCAGAGATGCAACGGCAGATCCCAAAGGTGATTGAATTGTGAAAGCGCGCTGCGCACGTCCCTTCCGAGTGTGGTGGCCTTGCTGCCTGAGTATTGCTGCCTGGTATTACAATAGTAATCTGCACACTGGCCTTACATTGTAATTACAGACAGTCCCACATGACCTCACCGTTCCTCATCATGCGGGATCTCCACTCAAGCTCAAAGCTCACTCCTCTTGAGCTTCTCCTTCCTCTCCTTCTCCTACCCCAATATACCTCCACAATGGATCCTGACGAAGAGGTCGAGGGGCCACATCCTCGCTTTTTAGACGATGACCCCAGACCGACCAGCAAAAAGGAGCTCGCGGGCTGGTATTGCTACGGCTGGGCTGCCGAGGTGTTCACCGTCTGTGCTATGGGTACCTGAGTCCTCTCTTTGATCAATTCCTTTCTTCCCCCCCTTTACTTTTAGAGCTTCCTTGTTCCTAACCAGGCTTATACAGGGTCATTCCTCCCGATCACACTGGAACAACTAGCACGAGATCAAGGTGTTCTTTTATCAGATAAAACAACTCCGTGTAGCCTCACTTGGAACCCTGCCAAACATCCACTCCAAGGTGACGATTACAGCGCGCAATCCCCAGCAACCGGCCAATGTATCGTCTATATCCTAGGTGCCGAGGTCAACACTGCCAGTTTTGCCTTGTATACATTCTCTCTGAGTGTCTTGGTTCAGGCCATTCTCATTATTTCGATGTCTGGGGCCGCTGACCACGGAAGTTATCGCAAAAAGTTGCTGGTCACTTTTGCCTTTGTCGGCTCAACAGCCACCATGTTGTTTCTTGCTGTGATTCCCCGGGTTTATCTTCTCGGTGGTTTCCTTGCCATCGTTGCGAATACATGCTTCGGTGCATCCTTTACATTGTTGAATTCCTTTTTACCAGTCCTTGTGCGCTATCACCCAACGATGCTCGAAAAGGAAGGTGAACCACCAGTATCTGGCTCGCAGAGCTTGGGAACGGCACGACGAGACCCTTCTCCGCCAACGAAAATGGCAATAACGAGGATTATTTCGATTCATCGACGCCCTTATTGCGATCCACTTCTGGAGATGGGAGAAAGGCAGAGGCAGTGACCTCCTTGGAGCTCAATCTATCCACCAAGATTTCATCCAATGGAATTGGAATAGGCTATATTGGGGCAGTAATTCTGCAAATGATCCTAATTTTTGTCGTGGCAATGACCAACCAAACGACATTATCACTGCGTCTTGTGATGTTTCTCATCGGCTTGTGGTGGTTTGTATTCACCATCCCAGCAATGACCTGGCTGCGTCCCCGACCGGGTCCACCTCTGTTAGGAACGGATGGGAAACCCCTCGATTCTTCGGTTGCGTACATCGTGTATGCTTGGAAGTCTCTCGGAAAAACCGCAATGCGCGCACGTCGTCTGAAAGACATTCTCCTTTTCCTTGCCGCCTGGTTCCTCCTCAGTGATGGGATCGCCACCGTCAGCGGGACAGCCGTGCTATTTGCCAAAACCCAGCTGGACATGAAACCGGCAGCTCTGGGGCTGATCAATGTGATCGTCATGATTGCCGGGGTCTTTGGAGCTTTTTCATGGAGCTACGTATCGAACTTTCTCGGATTGCGCGCGTCACAGACTATTATTGCCTGCATCATCCTCTTTGAACTTATTCCAATCTACGGAATCCTCGGATTCGTTCCGTCCGTGCAGCGACTCGGTATTGGCCTCCAGCAACCTTGGGAAATGTACCCGTTGGGGGCCGTCTATGGACTTGTCATGGGAGGCCTATCCTCATACTGTCGGAGTTTCTTTGCCGAGCTCATTCCCCTGGATATGAGGCTGCATTCTATGCACTGTATGCAATTACCGACAAGGGCTCTAGCGTCTTCGGACCTGCCATCGTGGGCATCATTGCCGATCGATATGGGGGAGATTCGTCCGGCCTTTGTGTTCTTGGCCGTTCTCATTATCCTACCATTACCCCTGATGTTGCTCGTGGATGTGGACCGTGGTAAACGAGATGCGCTTGAGCTTGGAGCCGAATTAGATCGGATCTCAGAAACCACGGCCACGGGTTATGGGACTATGTCGGTCAGGGTGGAAGATGAGGATGTGGCTCGGACCATGTAGATCATTTTGCCAGTCTAGTCTTCCTTAATTTGGTCCTCCTTTCGGGGTCTCCTCGGCTGAGATCTCCATGTAGTTACGTATAGTATGTACCATGTGTATTACATGTGGACAGATCGTTAGATTTATTCAATAATAACATTTTAGGTACGGAGTACTCAGCATTATTGTCAAAAGTTAAGACACAGTGTTCAGTAAGAATGGTTGTACGACATGATGCCAAGCCCGCCCCCAGCCCCGTATTTCATGGAATAGTGTCAGGCTAGTGCTCGTAATGAATAATCCAGTTGGACGGCGTGTAACGAGCTAGAGCCGTGCCAAAAGCAAATCCACCACTAGCCGGGCGACAAAGATGCAAATTGTACCTGACGGGAATTCAGAGTACTTGGGAAATACTTGGGAAATACTTGCTAATATAATATAAAAACTTTAGCAGTTCCTCGTACCCAGTGGGTACTCCCCCCCAGGTAAACCCTTGCGTAGGCGCCCTGCATAGCAACTCTGCAGAGGAGCTCCACTCTACGTAGCCTCAAATGAACAAACTGTCCTCAACTGCGGCCCCCATATCTTTCCTTCGATAAATACATACTTGCCCTCCTCTTTCTCTTCCCCCAAGCTTAACTGTCTGGGTAAGTTTACACTCCCTCTATAGCTTCACTATCTCCTACTCCCTCTATTTCCATTTCCATTCCCATTCCCATTCCCATTCCCATTCCCCTGCTCTGATACTATCCCCACCACCACCACCACCATTACCACCCCCAACTAACACGCTTCCCCTCTCCAGGTGATCTGAGATACGGCATTCATTTGTTCCCTATTCAATCATCATCATTATGCGGTCGTTCACCCCTCTTGTTCTGAGCCTTCTAGGCGCTACTGCGGCGGTCTCCGCTGCTGAGCCCGCGGCCGATGCTGCCTCGGACGTTCACACCTTGACCACCGATACCTTCAAGGACTTCGTCAAGGAGCACGACCTTGTTCTGGCCGAGTTCTACGCTCCCTGGTGCGGTCACTGCAAGGCTCTGGCTCCCAAGTATGAGGAGGCTGCCACCGAGCTGAAGAGCAAGAACATTCCCTTGGTCAAGGTGGACTGCACCGAGGAGGAGGAGCTCTGCCGCGACTACGATGTCGACGGATACCCGACCCTGAAGGTCTTCCGCGGCGCTGAGGACCCCAAGCCTTACGGTGGTGCCCGTCAAACGGATTCGTAAGTTTTCCTTTTGCTCCTTTGGCAATGCCGCGCCAATTCCATCATAATAATGGCCCCCGCTGACATTGTTTATTTACTACTATTAGCATCGTTTCCTACATGACCAAGCAGTCCATGCCCGCCGTTTCCGACGTCACTGAGGACAACCTGGAGGAATTCAAGACCCTGGACAAGATCGTCATCATCGGCTACGTCGGTTCGGACGACAAGACCGCCGACAAGAGCTTCGCCGACTTCGCCGAGTCTCAGCGCGACAACTACCTCTTCGGTGTCTCCCACGACGCCGCCATCGCCAAGGCCGAGGGTGCCAAGCAGCCCTCCATCGTCCTCTACAAGGACTTCGACGAGAAGAAGGCTGTCTACGACGGCAAGCTCGACGAGGAGTCCCTCCTCAAGTGGGTGAAGACCGCCAGCACTCCCCTGGTCGGTGAGCTCGGTCCCGAGACCTACTCCAAGTACATGGCCGCCGGACTTCCCCTGGCCTACATCTTCGCCGAGACCGCTGAGGAGCGCGAGAAGTTCGCAGAGGACTTCCGTCCCATTGCCGAGAAGCACCGCGGCGAGATCAACATCGTCACCCTGGACGCTAAGCTCTTCGGCGCCCACGCCAGCAACCTGAACCTCGAGCCGGAGACTTTCCCCGCCTTCGCCATCCAGGAGACCAAAAAGAACGCCAAGTACCCCTACGACCAGACCAAGAAGATCGACGCCAAGGAAGTCGGCAAGTTCATCAAGAACGTCCTGGCCGGCAAGGTCGAGGCTAGCATCAAGTCCGAGCCCATCCCCGAGACCCAAGAGGGTTCCGTGACCGTCATCGTCGGCAAGAACTACCAAGAAGTCGTCCTGGACAACGAGAAGGACGTCCTGGTCGAGTTCTACGCCCCCTGGTGCGGACACTGCAAGGCCCTGGCACCCAAGTACGACGAGCTCGCCGCTCTGTACGCCGACGTGCCCGAATTCAAGGAGAAGGTCGTTGTCGCCAAGGTTGACGCTACTGCCAACGATGTGCCTGACTCCATCACCGGATTCCCCACCATCAAGCTTTTCCCCGCTGGCAAGAAGGACGAGCCTGTTGAGTACAACGGTTCTCGTACCGTTGAGGACCTTGTTACCTTCATCAAGGAGAATGGCAAGTACGAGATTGACGGTTTCCAGGGGGGCGCTAAGAAGGCCCAGGAGGGTGGTGATGTTACTTCCTCGGCTGCTCAGGCTGCTGAGACTCCTGCTGAGGAGGAGGGTCATGATGAGCTGTAAGTTAGCTCAATTCTTGGGAATTGAATCAAGTTTTGTCGTTTAGTGTTACTGTATCACTAAGTTGAATGCGAATTTTCTGTTTGCGTGATGCCATTTACCCAATCTCGTCTACTTAGTAGACATACTCCGTAATGGTAGGAATAGATGCCACGCATGGTAGCCCAGCTGCCAGTGGACACTAGTATTAGAGTAAGCGCAGCTCCGCATCAATGTGACAGGGAATTGTCTACAGCCTTATTACACTGCCCACAATTGTTGATGTCGGTACTCGCATCTTTGCAGGCCCCGTCACACAGTGACTGCGATGGTGAGGCTTTAAAGGGCCCACAGACATAACATGACCCTGTTCCACGCAAAGCAGAAAGTATACAGGTTATAGCTAGTTTTGGGTAATTTCGAGCACACCATGCAGTGCACTCAGCAAGTTTGATTGCAGTATTTTGTCCTCGAACCAAGCAATTTATATATATATATATATATATGTGTGTGTGTGTGTCAGTTACCTATATGAATGTTAGACTTTGACACCTATCTTACCTAGTGCAAAAAGCAGAAAGGGTGCAGTTCTTGTCATCTTGGAAATTACCTTGGAGAATGGACTTAGACATCCATCACGATCTTACCCACCTTTTCTAGTTTTAAATATACTCTCATATTTAACTTGAGGAATAGAAATTGATATTTCGTGAGATAGCCATGATGTATTAGACTCGGTCTAGATTCAACCTCCGAAAAGTGGGCTTATTTTTGTTCTTTAGCTCCCAGGTTTACCGTGCGTGGATAGTTTTCCATACGGACCATACATCTCCCCAATCATGGCATGAGCACGTTCAGGAAACGGTGATTTAATGAACTTCTACTCTCATGTGTTTCAGATCTACTGCTACTACTCATTCACAGGTCCGCTGTTTACATACTCATAGTCAATATACTCTCCCTCACCGCCTTGTCTATCTAACCCAATTCGGCCGCAATGCACGACGCGTCCGAACCCGCGGCGCGTCGATCAATGCGGCTCACATCAAACCGATCTCTCGAGTCCTGTCAATTCCTTACCCCTGGACAATTCCACTCCTTGGACTATCTTCACCTTTATTCCCTCCTTTTTTGCATGCTGTGACGCGATTGATTCATTCTTACCTCGGCACATCTCTCGCCATCATGGTTAGCCCAGCCCTCAAGCGCAAAGCAGACAACTCCGCTTCTTCACCAGCAGACAGCAAGAAACCCAAGGGCGGCAGCATTACCTCGTTCTTCGGTGCGCCCAAGCCAAAGCCTGCGAACACTCAATCGGGGAATGCTAGCTCTCCCCCTCGACCTACTTCCTTCAACAAGGAAAAATGGGTGGCGTCTCTGAAACCGGAGCAGAAAGAGCTGCTACAATTGGAGATTGATACTCTAGACGAAAGCTGGCTCGCTCACCTGAAAGATGAAATCGTGACACCGGAATTCCTGAACTTGAAACGCTTCTTGAAAAAGGAGAAGGATTCTAAAGCTAAAGTCTTTCCCCGGAGGAAGATGTTTACTCTTGGTACCTCCCCTTTCCTCCCTTTCCTTCCAGCTCATTCGCTCTCCTCCAAACATATCAATTGACAATTCTCCTTCATCACATCCAGGTCCCGCCACACCCCCCCTCCACAAAGTAAAAGTAGTAATAGTCGGTCAAGACCCCTACCACAACGACAACCAAGCCCACGGCCTCGCCTTCTCCGTCCGCCCCCCAACCCGCGCCCCACCATCCCTGGCAAACATCTACAAAGAAATCAAAAAGGAATACCCCACCACCTTCACCTTACCCCCCAACAACGGCGGCCTCCTAATCCCCTGGGCCGAGCGGGGCGTATTAATGCTAAACACATGTCTAACTGTGCGCGCCCATCAGGCAAACAGCCACTCGAATAAAGGCTGGGAGCGATTTACACAACGCGCTATTGATCTCGTTGCTCGGGTTCGCACGCACGGAGTCGTGTTTTTGGCGTGGGGGAATCCGGCTGCGGCGAGGGTTGCGAAGATTCAGAGGGATAGGCATTGTGTTTTGCTTTCTAAGCATCCTAGTCCTTTGAGTGCGCATGGTGGATTTGTGAGTACTTACTTCTATGCATGGAATGCATTTCATTCTTGTTTGTATGTGTGTAAGGCAAAAACTAACAAGGAACTCTATTTAGTTCGGCAACAATCATTTCATCAAATGTAATGAGTGGCTCGCGTCGCGATACGGTGACGATGAGATTATTGACTGGGCTTTGGTACCGGGTACTTCTACAAAGGAGATTAAAGAGGATGTCGCTACGTCTACATCTGACAAGGAGAATTCCTCGAGTTTGGCAAATGCATCTCCCTCGGGGACGAAGACGGAGGCCAAGGTGCCCGACACTAATGCCAAGTGCTCACTTGAAACTCTTGATAAAGGGAATGCGAAGAGCAAGGCCAATGCTGAAGTCGATGAGTTTGATGACGAGGATGCGTTGGAGGCTTTGATTGAGGCGGAGAAGAATTCTTCTCCTGTTGGGAAGGCTTGATTTGATTGATTGAGTTCAAGATTTAGAGAGTGGGTTAAATACTACTGCATTGTGGTGGTTCAAGACAGAGGTGGGACATAAATCGTGTTTGATTACTTTTGTTTGGATTGGAATTAGGGCTGTCTCGAGTACAGTCTGGCTGGTCGCGATGTAGGGCGTTCAATGGTGTTCGGATTTGAGAGCGGAATTGTATTGTTGATTTTAGGTCATGTCATGGAAAGGATGTTCCTTTTATTAAGGGTCGCAGACATCTATCTGCCTAAAATCAGTCGAGATAATTTAATTTTCCGGTATTAAGGACCTCTTTCTTGTGTGATTCCAGGATCTATCCTAGCCTGGGGTTACGTGTATGTGAGGCTCACATAGTAACCCACAGAAATTTCAAATTTCCCTTAAGACGTCAGCGGGTTGCATTAGCGCCAAGCTTTATTTGATTCCAATTTGGGTAGCAGGTATTAAGTTAACGGATCATTTAACTTGTTTACTTTCGCAGTAATCAAATGCATCCATCTGTGGACGTCAAAAAGCCTACGATCTGTAGAAAGTGCAAGCAGATTCTGAGGTTCAAGTTATTATGTATGGATAATGCTACAATGGAGAGATAGGCCTAATAAAAAATCACATCAACAAGTAATAAACCCTTTGTGATCTTGCACTATAAACAGAGACTATTTAAGGTGCGACTGCCTATCTTAGGCAGCTGGGTCGCTCTTTCCCAAAACATCGGGGACACCTATTGTTGACATTTCCCCCTCGCCCGGGAAACTTCGCTCTACACTCACACACTCTGATCAATATCAGCGTTTCTTTCCCATTTCCACTGTGAAAGGAGTCGGCTTCCTTGTTGCGGACTCTTGTCTTGGGGCTACGCCTCATATATGGTCCCGCCCAGCCTTCTTTCCACGACCTTCAGCGAGGAGCTGCCTGGGACCTCCGAATACTGTCTCGCTAAAGCGATGATATACCCCGTTTATCAGGACTCTGCTCAATCGTTCAATCAGCGCATCCAGCAATGGGGTTACAAGTCTATACATTAGAAGTCTTGAGATAGATACCTGGACTCTTGGGAAACTTTGCTCTCGCTGTTTCTGAGGCCTTTCAAGTTAAAAACTGCAAAGTCACTTCCAGAAAACCAACTGGACGTCATTTTCCAGCCGAAGGAAAACCGGACGTCATCGAAATTGCGTCCCAAAAGTCGCAAATATCGCTGAAGAGATCCTCCAACCCGAGTCGCGGTATGTATACGCCACAAGAGCTTCCCGACCAGCATTTACTTCGAGCATATTTGAAGGCTTTTACTGATAATACCTTTTCTGACCAGTATGGAAATCGAGCAGAATGGAACCAAGCGCGGGCACTCATCGACTATATCCTCGCGGATTGGACTGGAGGTCAACAGTCGGTTGGGCTTGGGGGGAAAGAAGGCTAGCTCCCGATGCACCGCAGAGAACAAACCACCCATCGTCTTATGCTTCAAGATGCCCCGGACTATTGGAAGAAAGGATCCGCATTCGAGGCAGAGTACAAAATATGCGAAGGAGCTAAAAATATGTTGGAAATCAACAAGCACCATGCATCAAATTGCCAGACCTGGAGCCCAGTAACCACAAAATGACCCGGTTCTTCACCACACTCCATGACAGCGTGATGGTGATTGAGGTTGTCATTATACCTCAACAGGACTGAGTCGAGATTGGTCTTCTTTCATTCCATTTCTCATGGAGACTATGAGAGAGCCTCAATAATGGTGACCTGACCTACGATTTGCCCGGGCCCCATAGTCTGGGCATACCGGATGCTAACCAAGTCCAAAGACCAGAGAGTGCGCAAGCCAAAGTGGTCAGACGCTGATATATGTACATTACTGGTAACTAAGTACCGTCTCGATGGTGATATCGAGTCACGTACACGATGCGTGGAGCATAAACTACCAATTGCATTCCTGGTGATTCCTGAGGGGATCATGTGCACTTGGCTCGGTGCTCTCTGTCTCTTGTAGACTGGAGCATCCCGACCCTCTGTTTTCCAAGGGTTGCTGCTTTGCTCAATTCTGCGAGGTACATACTTTGTGCTCTTTGGCTACCTGACCGGCGCACTTAACCCGGAACAGAACGCAATGACCATGTCACGTATTCCCTGATCTCAGTTCTTAGCGAGCGGGATATGACATTGCCTTTCCCGTGACTAAGGCTCGTGACTTTATGCGCAATCCGTATCACCAGTAGTTCGTTGCAGTTGGTCGAACCTACCATTTCTCGTCGGTATGATCGACATCTGCATCCCTTACCGTCGCAAGTGTCAATCCTCTGTACGGAAACGTCGACACAGATTGGACCGGAAAGCATGCCGATACTGCTATGCCAGCAAGCGGATTCGGGTTCATATTGTCTGGGAGCCTTATGCGTGGACGCTAACAGCTCATCGTCCAGCCCAGTACTGAGTCTGAATATATTGCAGCCATTCTCGCCGCCTAGGACGTTTCCTGGTTGTAATAGTACTTTCAAGTTCTTGAAGAGGCTCAACTACCTCAATTTCTTCAATGGCCGACTTTCATTTACGAAGACAATCAAGCAGTTCAAGTTCATGCTCTCATGAAGAATTCTGATTCCAATGACAACCACGCAAAACACATGTGTCAAGAACCATGGCATTCGTCATGCCATTGCAAACAAAAAGGTTGTTCTATTGGTCATTTCTACCAAATTCAACACTGCAGATGGCTTCAAGTCCTCAAAGCCTTCTAGCGTGTTCTCTTCCCGCAATTTGCCAGATTGCTCGGCCTGCCTTGATTGCAGTAGCTTAGCGGGAAACGCATGCTGTTTCTTAATCGGGGAGCGATTTTCAGGATTGCTACCACTCATCTCTTTGTTTTGCATCCAAATGACATTTCTTATGTAGCCATTTGGATTTATTCTTTCTGTATCAGTTAGGTAGATAGCCACTTTGCGTCGTGGGGGTGTACAGCCAAACGAAGGATAAAAAGGCAATAAAAAAAGCAGTATGAATAATTAATATACATAAACAGTCGCTATCTCAATGGCCCCTCCTCCCCTTGTCACCCACTAACTCCCCGAGACATCGCAATTACAAGTCTTCTCGGTGTATAGTAGCACCATTCTACTCCAAGGCAATATAGCTCCAAGACTGTCCCGAGCCAGGCTAATAAAGTAACTCGTCAGCCCACACGTAACAGTAGTGAAGAAGGAAGATCTTTACCTTAGCCAAGGATCTCTGTAGCTCTCTCGCTCAGTGCCGCTGGTTTAGACAACCTTCAGAATGCCAGGCACATCTTCCACGGCGTCAAGCAGGGCATCAGCCTGCGTGACTATCACAGTGACACATGGAGTTGTCGTAACTGTCGTGATAGTAGCAGTCGTCATGGGAAAATTGAATCCACAATCAATTGCATAGGGCGCAGAAGTGAAAATATTGCCAGTAGTAGAACAGGAAAAGGAAGCAGCAGCACAAGCACAGCAATTGGTCGTGGATATTTCTTCGCCAGCCAGAGTAGCACAATAACTTGTAAAACCTCCTCCTGGCCCGCCACAATCACCTTGGAATATCCCGCCACAATCATATCCAGAAGTAACTGTTGTTACTGTAGTAGGACAATTGGTTGTAACACATCCGAGCCCAACCCCAACCCCAATACACCCAATATTACCACCCCCAGTGTCAATATTAAGACCACCACCATTCCCATTACCGATATTATTTCCAACATGGGAAATCTTGTTACCACCTCTGTGCCCACCCCACTTTTCTGGAGCCTCATCTCCAGGGAGCGCAGTGACTATAGCACTGCACAAAAGGGCAAGAAGAGCAACATGCATTTTTGCGAAGGCGTTTGCAAATTCAGTTGGGAAAGAATATGAGTTTCAATCTGCTGTACTGCTGCTTGTGATAAATAAGCACAATTTGTTCTATCCATCTATTAGAAGGGGCTAGCTATATAGGGGTTTAAGGTCATTCTTTTCCTGTTAGAATTTTGGGCCATGAATGGAATGCCTGGGAATTTTTCCTGCATGATAAATAACTCCCATTTCCCCTGATTTTACAGATGGTTAAATAGCATTCCTTTCCCCGGCTAGTCTAGGAAAGAGGCCTACTGGATACTTCAAGTGATAGACATTAATCTTGTATGTGCCCCAGGGCTAATTATGTCTAGGACCGTATGTATATAGCTAGCAGTAACCTCTATCTAGTATAAGCATACATTATCATGATGTGAAAGGTCCAATGTATTGTGATTCCTAAACACCCTAGAAGAGGATATACAAAGGAGTAGTGGTGACCTTCGCGCCCTGTCCTACTTAAGAATGAGCGGTCGGACTCCCTGCTAATTTTGACCTGTCATTCTTTAGGACTGACCCCCTTTCTTGGTACAGGCATATTGTACATTTTCGCTATAACATATAAAGTTGGCGCCAGTTATACTAGCACAAAGATACTATACTATACATTTGGTATTATATTTTCTTAAATCTCTCTGCTTGGCACCAAATATTCAGGCATAATAAAGCCCCTTTATTACTCCATTCATTTGAATGCCTAAGATCATATATAGAACACCTAGTTGATCCTCCACCCAATTGCCCTGCTATATGGTACATAGCTTGGCGCATTCTGACTATAATTGGTAGGAGCACTATTCATTATGGGACTCCCCAGGACGTGGCCACTAGGCTGGGTAAATGCTGAGGTAACTAACCGGATTCCACAAACTTCGATTTTGGTTCGCGGAAGGTTTTGCCGGTATATGTCTGCATACCACAACCCCTTGATCTTTAATTTTTAAATAAATCATATTTTAGGATACATATCTATACGCCTTTTAGTCTTAATAATAAATCTCTAACAATAAAAGAGTGACCATAAACACACTATATATAATGCTCTTGCTAAACAAAGATAGCAGACCATTCTTCCGAGCCTTTACCATGACCAATACAGCAAGTGAAAACTAACATCCTGTTACTGCCTAATCATGATATTATTTT